TTGCTATTCATGTTAATACACTGTCCCTTTCAGTGTAGCTCTGTCCCAGTACTGATGCCTCAGAACCTTGATGGATGAGCCACAGAGTTCTTTGAATTTCTTGGGGTTATAGGATGGGGTCATGCATTACTTTAATCTTCGTATTTCTAAAGTAAAGACAATAAATGTATTCTGTCTCCTGGGATATAGAGAAAAACAGAAAGACATCTTTGTAGAGCACCTTGCTGATTTTAATTAATGTGCTATATTGGAAAAATTTATGAATCCAACACTGGTAGATAAATAAGATGCTAGTGCCAGCACAAACAAAAATCTTTGCTTGCCTCGCTTCACCAGGTCAGACAGGTAACCTGAATGGATGGAGAACGCATGCTCTCACTCAGGTTTGTTAGTGTTGCCAGATATTTCTATTTTCACAAATAAGCTGAGACTGCAAGCTTTTGTCATGTTCCCTAATTTTTTTTTATAGTTGAATGCATTTTTAATAGCAAACCTACAGGACCGAAGACAGACAACATTAAAAACATGTACTTGCATGTAGGACAATTCAGAAAAGTATAGTGAATGAATGGAATCTACTGTAGGGCTACAAACACCATTTAGTTGGCATCAATCAGAAATTTCTTTTTAAGAATAACTATAAGAAAGAAAATATCAAAATCAACAAACAACTATGAACCAGAGACACTCTATGGTGGGTGGGGGACGGGGAAAGGAGGGATTGGGGTCAAAATAAGGGGGTTGTAATTGTATGGGGAAAATAAAAATAAAATTTAAATAAAAAAAGAAATTTCTTTTTAAAAAAAATTCAAATTCTGGCATTGTCTAGAAAAAATTGCCAGGTTTATTTATAATTGTTACAAAGTTGAACTGCTGCAACTTGTTCACTGAAACATTTTGACTTTAGGTAATGCTTTATGTCCCCACATTTGTTATAAAGATTCACAAACACATGAACATGGAAAAAGTGCCCATTACCTGATTTTTGTCCCTTATTCATCCACTTGCGATCATATACTTTTGAACCCATGGCGGGAAAAAAATCTAACATTCAAAACTACCAATAGCAGGAAAAAGAGAATGAAATATAACATTGAGAATGAAATGTTTCCCATTGTAGATGGTTCTTAAGCACATTCTCCATGTAGGCGATGAGGTAGTTGGATGTCTTTTGGTGTAATTGTTACATGTTTGGCTCGAATAGCACATGGGTTGGTGACTTCAAAAAGGCCAACTAGATAGGTCTCACTTGCCTCCTGCAAAGCACCAATAACTGTGCTCTGAAGCGCAGATCTGTTTTAAAGACCTGGGCAATTTCTCACACCAGACCCCGGGAAGGTAAATTTGCAAATCAGCGTTTCAGTGGGCTTATTTCTCTGAGTGTCACAGTACCAGGCCTGTAACGGTGAGGGTTCTTCACCTGCCCAGTAGTGGGCGTACGATTGCGAGCGGCTTTTGTAACTAGTGCCTCCTCCGTGCTTACCACCTGTTTGCACCACAAGGTAAGCAGACCTCCTCACATAATCCCATTCTCCTTTGGCTGGAAAGAGGAGATGCTGGCGTTGGAGATGGGTGGTGTTGAGGCGGGGGCTCTGTTCCCTAATTTTTTTAAATGTTGGAAATGAATTTAAATCATTAAAAAAATAACAAACAAGAACCGTGCAGACTAGATAGTGCATGTCTGAATTAGATTTGGCTCAAGGGCTACTAGTCTGTCTCGAGGGTGGGAGAGTACCACGATAAGAGCGTAAAGTAGAAGAAATATAGAATTTTTGGAGCCAGCCCCTCCTGATTTAGAATCTTGTCACAGCCATTCAGCTGTTTTGTGATGTTGGGGAAGTAATTGAAGTCTCTGAGTCCCAGTTTTATGCTCTGTAATATGGAGATGATTGTATATTCTTGGCATTGTTGCCAGGACTGGGCATTACGGGGATGCGTATGCTCATGAGTGAGGTTTAAACGCCCACCATGTGGTACATTTACTAGGTGTACAAATGGCAGTTTTCTTTCAACTAAAGGGAATTCTTTAAAACAGAAAATAGGAACAAATGCAAAAGGCCCAAGACTTAGTTTTTATTGATTTGCTTGGATTGTATGAAATTTAAAACAAAAAAGAAATTAAGGTTTCATTCAGTGCTTTTTTTCCTCCTATAGGATTTCATTTATTAGCTGTGTGATCATGGCCAATTTATTACTTAAACCAGCTAGTTATTTTTTTATCTAAATAATGAAGATAATAGTTTAAATGGGTAATAGTATGTGATTGCAAGGCCATTGTAAAGAAAACTCCTAAGCACTGACACATAGTTAGCTAAAATATAGTAAACATTTGTACAATTATCCATGTAATTATCTGTTTTGAATTTCAATTAGCTCTAGAGACCTGACATATATACATACATCTAGCTGTCTGTCCATTCATTTATCAGTCCATCCATTTGTCCACCCAACTGTACAACTTATATTTTATTGGAGTGAATTTCACATAACATAGAATTAACCATTTCAAAATGTGAAATTCTATAGTATCTAGTAATTCACAATGATGTATAACTATGACCTTTGTTTAGTTCCAAAATATTTTCACTCCAAAAGGAAATCCTGGACTAAGGGTTTCTTAGTCCACTAAGCAGTCACTCCCCTCCCATTCTCCTCTCAACCCTTGGTAACTGCTAATCTGCTTTCTGTCTCTATGAATTTGCCAATTCTGGATATTTCATCTTAATGGAATCATACAATATGTGAAACTGTTTATTTTGAACTTTCTTTCCCTTTGCATCATGTTTTCAAAGTTCATTCATGTTGTAGCATGTTTTAGAATGTCATTACTTTATATGGCTGAATAATATTTCCACATTTTACTTATTCATCATTAGTTGATAGAATTTGGGTTTTCCTACAACTTTTTCCTATTGTGAATAATGCATTTTTGTATAACTTTGTTTGAGTACTGTTTTCAATTCTTTGGGTATATACCTATGCATGGAATTGCTAGGTCATGGGAAAATTCTCTATTTAATTTTTTGGGAAACTATCAAATTGTTCCCCACAGTGACTGTATCAGCAATGTATAAGGACTCCAATTTCTCTTTATCCTTACCAACACTTGTTACTACTCCTCCTCTTATTGCTACTACTACTACTGCTATTACTACTACTACTACTACTACTACCACCATCCCCACCACCACCAACAAGAACCTAATGAAGTGTTGTCTCATTGCAGCTTTGATTGACATTTCTCTAATAGCTAAAGATGTTGGTCATCATTTCATAAGTTTATTGACCTTTAGTTACTTACTTTGGAGAGATGATTTTTATAGACATTAACATTTAAAAATATTTTTGCCTTTTGTTTGTTGAGTTTTAAGGTTTCTTTGTGTATTTTACATATTAATTCCTTACCAGGTATATGATTTGAAAGCATTTTTTCCCATGCTGTGGGTTGTCCATTTATGTTCCTTATCATACCCTTCAATGCATGAAATTTTAAAATTTTGATGAAGTACAGTTTACCTGTTTTTTCCTTTGGTTAATTATGCTTTTGTGTCATAGGTAAGAAATCATCAAATCCCAGAATATGAAGGTTTTCCCCTTCATCTAAGAGTTGTACAGTTTTAGTTCTCATATTTAGGTCTTTGATCCAGTTTTGAATTAATTTTTTATATTTTGTAGGTTAAAGGTTCAAATTCTTTTGTATGTGGGTAACCAGTTGTCTCAGCACTATTTGTTGAAGTGACTATTCTTTACCTATTGAATGGTCTTGAAACTCTTATTGTAAACCAATTTATCATGGGAGTATGGGCTTATTTCTGGACCCTCAGTTCTATCCTGTTGCTCTATATGACTCTATATCATTATGCCAGTAACACACAATTTTCATTATTATAGTTTTGATATCAGTCTTATAGCTCTATATTTTGTTTTTTTATTTGACTATTCTGGGTCCATATAATTCCATGTAAATTTTGGAGTTATTTCTCCATTTTGGAAAGAAAGACTGCTAGGATTTTGATGGAGATTGCATTGAATCAGTGGGCTGCTTTGGGTGATAACAATATTAACCAATTCATGAACATGATGTGTTTTTCCATTTATTTAGATCTTTGATTTCATTCACCATTATTTTGTAGTTTTTAGCATATCTATCTTAACCTCTCTGATTAGATTTATTCTGAATTATTTATTCTTTTTCAATACTTTAGTAAGTGGAATTGTTTTCTTAGTTTGGGGGTTGATTGCATGTATATAGAAATATGAGTTATTTGTGTGTTGGTTTTGTATCTTGCAAATATGCAGAATCATTTATTAGCCTATAGATTTTTTTAGTGGATTCTTTAGCATTTTCTCTATATAAAATCATATCATCTTTGAATATAAATAGTTTTACTTCTTTATTTGTGGCCTAAATGCCCTTTTTTTTTGCCTTATAAATCTGGCTAGAATTTTTAGTGTAATGTTGAATAGAAGTGGTAACATTAGAAACTCTTGTCTTATTCCTCATTTAGGGGGTAAGTTTTCAGTTTTTCATCTTTGAATGTAATGTTAGCTATGGGCATATGGGCATTTACTTATTTGAAGATCTTTTGTGCTCTAGTTTTGAAATTGCTGAGTGAAACTGCACAACTTAGAAACCCAGCACTTTCCTTGAAAATCCTCCTACCACCAGAGATGATTACTCTTCATATTTTGAATTGATTTTTAGATGTTCTTAAATTCTGTCCCCCCAAATATGAACTTATAGATTATTACTACCAGGTATGTGTTACTAGAGCAACAGCAAAATCTAAGGTCTTATCTTTGGCATCAAAGATAATAGAATTAAGATAATAGATATTAAGATAATAAATATTAAGATAATATTTGATAATATGATATCAAAGATAACAGATACTAAGATAATAGAATTTATCTTAATCTAAGAGCCAAGCATTTTGAAGTCACTGGTCTTTGGAAATGTGACTGGTTATTTAATATGTTCCTTTTGTTTTGAATTACAGATTGGTTTTGTACTTTATCCCCCCAATGGAGGTCCTGCATGGGATCCAACAGATCATGATAACATTATGTTTCTTACCATATGCTTCTGTTGGCATTATGCATTATCCCTTATCATCGTAGGAGTGAATTATGCCTTTGTTACCTGGTAAGTTAATCATTTTTGTTCATGGAAATTCTAGTCATTAGTATATAATCATTAAGGCTTAATAGTATTGAACTAAAAATTCAAAGGGGTGTTAATTCTTTAGCATTTCACAAGATGGGGTAATGTCACAGACATTTATCTGCAAAAATAGAAATTCCCAACGAAAAAAGGACAAACCCTGGTTTAAAGTTACAGTAGCTCAACAGTGTCTTTGCTGTGCCTCTGAGCTAGGTGTCACTCCTCAACACACTCTTCTGTGTCTCTCTGTCCTTGTGTGTGCTATTTCCTCCTCTGAATAGCTCTCCCAATACCTGCAGTGAGCTCTCCATTTACCCACATGTTCATCAGTTACAGCATTCCCCAAACTTAGCCCATTAAGTCCAAGTACCTGATTAATTTGACATTTACTCCAACATTTCTGAAAGTAAGACTCAGTTCAACACTGCATGTTTTTACAAGTGCCCTTATAGAACATTTCATGATAGGTAAGGAGCAATATGACACATTTATAGGAACATATTCCTAGGCCTGCTATTTAATCATCTGTCTGACATTGGGAAAATTATTTAACCACATTAAGTCTCAGTTTTGTTTTTTGCCAAATGGGGATAACAGTACCTAAATGTCCTAAACTGTTTAGGACATAATAAGAGCTCAATAAAGGTTATTCTTTTTGTTATTCCTCTTGTTCTTGTTCTGCTCCTCCTTCTGTATGGAAAAATATACAAATTATAGACCCTGTGATGGAGAGACAGACAATACAATATATAGAAATAGAATAAGATAGCACTACTGGAGTTCAGAGGAGGCCTCTTCACAATTGAGAATGAATTTGTAGCTTGAAGGGTGGTTAGAAATAGAAAGGGGGTGAACACTGGCCTGGCTGATCCCAACCACCAGGAAGGCAAGTCCAGCCCCTAATTTTTCAGACTTTAGTGATGGTCACAATGTTATTTGTCAGCCATGTTCATTATGGTAGCCATGATACATATGGTTTTTGCAGATGTGCCCAGTGGCACATTCATTTTAATTGATTTAAGCATCCACATATGCCCAGGGACTGCCACAATGGACAGTGTGCATCTAACAGGTTCTCTAGCCTCCTAAAATGCAGCAACTGCCTTAGCCCCAGTAGTGTCTCAGTCTGCCAAATATAGTTTAATAGTCTTCTCTCTATAAATGGACCCCTAGTCACCTCTTCTGCCCTGTGCTTTTTTGAGAATCACCCATGAAGTAGTTTTGGTTCTGTGTTGCTGAGTGAGGAAAACATTCCATTGTCAAGCTCTCAGATCTCTGCTACGTTTTGGGTCAGCCCACTTTGATCTCCTTCTAGAAGGCCAGGTGATTTAGATGCTGGGAAGTTCTACCTTCTCAGTGATTGATTTATATTTGGTCTATTCTATCCCCCCAAAGCACTTGCATGAGCTGGTTGTCAAAGCTGGCTCTGCCATTGAGTGAAACTTGGCTTCTTCCTCTGTTGTTCTAGGCTGACATCTGGGTCTCATCTCCTCAGGGGCTGGGCAGCCCTCATGAACAGTGCCAGCGTTCAACAGGCTTCTCCATCTCATGTCAGCTCCCTTCCAGAGGCAAAGGAACACTATTGCCTCTTCCTGTTTCAAAAACCTTCAGATCCCTAATGAATCTCCTCTTACTCACTTACAGTTTTCTAGAAGCCAGAAACTCCATGGTTATTTTTTTTAATTTCTTTTTTTTTAACGGTTTATTTATTTATACAAGCACTGGGGTACAGGCAGAGGCGTGGGAGGGTGAGAGAATTCACCGGAGACAGAGCGGGGAGCAGAATAGGCAGAAGGACTGAAATACACTGCTGAGGGGAGTAGCAGGAGCAACAGGAGAGGTCTGCCTCACCATGTGGGAATCTCCCTGGCCAGCCGGGAATTGAACCTGTGCTGCAGAGTCTGCGGACAGCTTCACAGCACTGCGCTCAACCCACTGCACCACCAGGGAGGCCCTCCATGCTTATTTTTTAAAATCTCATCCCCATCCTGACACTTTTTTTTTTTAAGATTTATTTTTATTTATTTATACAAGCACTGGGTACAGTCAGAAGCGCGAGAGGGTGAGAGAATTCACCAGAGCCAGAGCGGGGAGCAGAGCAGGCAGAAGGACCGAAACACACTGCTGAGGGGAGCAGCGGGCGGCAGGAGAGGTCTGCGCGCCATGTGGGACCCTCCTCCGATGGCCGGGGAGCAGCCGGGGATCGAACCGGCGTTATAGAGGCAGCGGGCAGCTTCGCAACCCAGCACTCAACCGCTGCACCACTGGGGAGGCCCCCATCCTGGCACTTTATTCTAAACATTTTGACCATGTAGTTACCTCTACCTGGCATATTCAAATGAAACACCCATCTTTTGTGAAAACTGCAATTATTCCAACCCTTGCCTATCCTGTCCACAAGTTTTAACAACACTTTAGCCTCTTCCATACATGTTAGCAATTGTCATCTTTTTTGTGATGTTTATTATTAGCGCATGTTAGTTTTATCTGTTCACTGATTGTGTTGCCTTGAGGAAAGGATCCTTCTCATGTTTCTCACAGCTATTGGCACACTGTCAAACTTTTTAGTAGGTATTAAATAGGTACTCCATCCTAATTTATATGTTGTTTTAATAAATATTTCAGAGTATCTTCAGTAAAAGCTTCATTTGTTTGGAAATCATGTTTTATATGGTTTCAGTTTTGTTCTCACATTGTTCTTGGGAATATTGGCACAATAACTCATGTTCTGATACATTTTGATATAAATTTAAGCAATAGCTTAAAAATATCATGAAGATTCAGTACTGACTTTCAGTGTGGTTGTTACAGGGCAACCGCGTTAAGTGGATTTCCAGACTGTGGGTCCTCACCCGCACACTTAAAGGGACTTATAATAAGCCTCAACTGCAGTCACACACAAAAAGGTTAATAAAGGGTTTATTTACAAAAGAAGGGGAAATGAAGAAATTAATAACTCAGGGAGAAAGACAGGGAGATAAAATTGGTGAATGCGTCCTACCAGTTCCGCTGATCTGGAATCCCAATAGCTCGCTGAAAGCAGGCAAAAAGCCAAGAGACCCCTAAGGCCCACATGTCTGGTTATATACCAAACCTGGCTGCTTAACTCCACCCTCAGTTCCTAGCAGTCCTCACTTCAGTGATGATGGTATTGTGGGATTTGTAGTTCTTGGTGTTTTGGTTCTCTTTGGTCTAGAGAGGGGGTGGATACATAAAACCTGTGTTTGTGGAGTTGTTCAGGACATCCTTTACCCCCAACAAGGTCATATGGAAGACTAACTCAGCCCTGTAATCATATGAACTTTGAAAATCTGTTTGTGAGAGTTTGATGGTGGAGTGGTTAACTCTGTTGTGGGGGTTGGAGTATCAGCACATTTTATCAGAATTTGTGTGACATAGAACAAAGATCACCATGGAAGCAAAATTGTGTTATGAAACCACTAATCCCCAAATCTCTGAAAAAAGAAACTCTACTTCCCAGCTTTCCATAGTAATGGTTCAAATATTGCCTCATCTGGTCCTATGCTGGCAGTCATGATTAGAAAGCTCATAGGTAAGACCTATTTGGAAATCTTATGTGATTTACTGTATTTCATGTTTGAGCACCACTGTTAAGCAGAACTATTTCAAAACCCACTCTTTATTTTCAGATTGGTTTTCTAAACAATGATTCTTATGAGCCACTTTGAAAAACAAAATAGCTGACCAAATTCTATGCATGTGATAGTTGACCTTTTGGAAATTTGACTTCCAGATTTGTACTCTGAAAGAAGAACCAGAGTCTCAGTTTTGCCTGTTCTTTCACATATTAATCAAGGAAAACAAATGGAAATAAAAGCATTGACACACCCTGACCTTAGCCTCTGGACCTGTGTCATTCCAGGAACTAGCTATTATTTGCATTTCCTTCTTGTGCACTCCATCCCAGCCTGTTTTCAGTGGCCACTTCTACATGTGCTAATACATGAACAGGATACAAATAGAGCTTGCTTAAGGTGTCCTAACAAGTCCCCTCTTGATGGCTTATAGCAGCAGTAGGATTAGCCAGAGTGGAGTGATAGAAGCAGGAAGAGGCTCTAGAGTCTGTGATAATCATCTGTAATCAGTAGCCATGACTTTGTTTTATATTTCAAGAGTCACGAGGAGTGAATCTAATAAACGAATGAATAAATGAATCCATTTCATGTAGTCTTTATGGAGTTTGTGCCATGTAGAAATAATGTGCAAGTTTAAAAGAATGACATCAACACTGTCCCCGATTTTAACTTATTTAAAACTATTTGCTTTTCATGAGAATGGAGCCCTGAAGAGTTGAGGAAATTGGGAACAACATCAATAGTCAATTAATAATCAAGGAAGGTGATTTAAACTGGTTTTCTTGGACTCTTAACAAGTCAACAGACGTTACTGATACATTCAGTTGTTATGTATTGGAGGATAATGCTGAGTTGGAAGTGACTGAATTTACTCTTTAAATAGCTGAGTGATATGAACTCCTGGCAGATTGCTTTAAAGGCCACTGACTTGATTAATCAAATATGGGTTTTGTGCCACTGTTATGTATCAGACATTTTCGAGACTCTGGTTTGCATTAAGACAGTTAATAAGATGAGGTCTATGATCTTACAAAGTTTATATTCTAGTAAGATCCAGAGTACATGTAAAGACACTGCATATTGACAGGGGAAGATCAGATCTTCCCTGGAAGAAGAAGAAAGGCAGAAAATAAGGGTAAAGGATGCAAATAGGCTAGTAAAGTTTTTTCATAAAATGAAAATGATTTTGATGATTTGGTTTATCAAGTTCTGCACTCTACTTTGTATTTATGGAAGCTGATGCTATCTTGTTGATATGGTCACAATATAATGCCTTTACAAAAGTCACACGCAGGATAACCTTTGCCTAGGTCTTATTACATATCCTTTTCTTACATCTGAGAAGTGGAGAGCCTGCTGAGTTTCTGCCAGTAAGAAGTTTCACATCTTCCAGGGTAAAAAATAATAGTCTCTGTTTCTCCCAGGCCCACCAGTTCTCTTAATCTATGAAACAGTTGCAACGGTGTAGGGTACTTCTTCCAACTTTGTAATTCATCTTGAATTATCAAATGCAGTTGAGCATCCTGTGGCCTGCACTAAAGCACACTTCTGAAGAAGCGAATAGGGGCTGCAAATCACCTGAGCATAATATGGGGAAAGTGATGCCATCATGCATTTCTCTGCAGGAAAGTGCTCCTTTTTGTATCATGCAGCTAAATGCAGAACTTGAGGGAGAGTCTTGGCTGAGCTCATTTTCATCTGGGCTTACTCAGGGATGCTCCTGTTTTAGAAATGATGGAAGGGCCTCCCTGATGGCGCAATGGGTTAAGCACAGCACTGTGAAGCTGTCTATAGCCTCTGCAGCACCAGTTCAATCCTCAGCTTTCCAGGGAGCTACCCACATGGCACAGCAGACCTCTCCTGACTTGCCCGCTGCTCCCCTCAGCAGTGTATTTCAGTCAATATGCCTGTTCTGTTCCCCATTCTGTCTCTGGTGAGTCCTCTCACCCCCCACACCTCTGGCCTATAACCCAGTTCTTGTATGCATAAATAAATAAATATTTTTTAAAAAGGAAAGAAATGATTGAAGTTTTAAATAATTAGACATCTTCTGATACCTAATAAATCACATTGTACATGTATCTCTTTACTTATGCCCTGCTTCTGCTTAAACCCACCAAAATTTTTCAGGTAATTCCAGAGCGAAATAAAAGTGTTTGTGTGTGTGTGTGTGTGTGTGTGTGTGTGTTTTCTTGTGTGTATGTGTGTGTGTTTTTTTTAGGAGACCTCTCCCATTTGCAGTTTGTTGGAGTTAAGTATAGACACATTTGGAGTTTGTTAATTATAGACACATATTGCCCTGGGCTTTTATTTTAAACACCATAACATGAGATGTCTTTCATTCTTCTCAGGTTGGTTAAAACTCGACTTAAGAGATTCTGCCCCTCGGAAGTTGGACTCTTGAAAAATGTAGAACGAGAACAAGAATCAGAAGAAGAGATGTGATTCTGATGGGCATCTAGGCTATCTAAATGAACTGTTCCTTTTTTGCATTGTTTTTGTTTATGGTTTTCTTTTTGACCTTTTGTTTGGAGAACAATTGGCTGAGGATACTCTTGGTGTCCTACCTGTATTCCCAATTTTGTTAAAGTATTTGTACTTAAATGTTTTATTTTTAGGTTTGAAAATACTTGATAAGTTGATTTTGCACATCAGTCTTGGTATTTGGGGTCTGGAGTGACTTTTCTCAGATCATCTAAAGTCTGATGCTTAAACTATGAAAAGTATTTGTTTTATTTGCCTATCATATGTTCAAGGTTCCTGGGCTTACTACCATCTGTAACTCTTTTAACATGGAAATATGCCTATTGATCTTGTTGCTTCAGTGAGAAATAAATGAATGCATGGACCTTGGTTCGACTTCTCCAGTCTTTGTGCTTATTCAACTGCATCCCACCCTTAAATCATAAAGAAGGAGCGCTGTGACTCTGAAATTCCCTTTGTTTTTCTGGTGAGACATTGCTTTCTGTGGCATCTAAGGCACCAGGAAAAGTAAGCCAGAAGTTGCCCTGAGTTGTGCACTATTTCAGAAAAGAAAAAAGGGATGATCCCTAGAACACATGATGGAAAAGCCGTGAGAGATTGCAAAGGAGAATTGTGATGTTATCCAGAGTAAAAAGTCATCACACAAGGACAGCATGGCCACTATGCCATCCCCTTGCTGAAATAGTTGAGGCATCAAAACAAGAAAAAGACTTTTATGGAAGACCTAGTTAAGAAGTCAGAGCCTTACTTAGTCTGTGGGTCAAGTAATCCACTAAGTGAACCACTGGACAATCAAGAAATCTTGGTATTAATTGGTACTAATTAGTAATTGGTACTTATTCTTGTTCTACCGTTAACCAATCTTTCTAGCAATCACCATGTCCTTTCCTCTAAAGTGAGGAAATTGGATTGGATGAATCATGGCCCTTTCTGGCTGTCTTGGTTTATGCATATAATTTTGGGGACAAAACTGAAGTGTGTGGACGACTAATTTTGTACAATGTTAGTAGGAAAGGCAGTTACAGAAAAGGCCAGGAGGGCCGCACACATCCTTGAGGATGACTTGAATGTGGAGGAAAGAGGGCAACCTCTTGGGCAGCTGGAGGTTAAATAGCATCAACCCCGAAGGCTCCCTTGCATTCCAGAAGTATTGACCAACCCACAAGTATGGCCCTGTCTATATTACCAGTGATGGGTATTATAGGGAGGTGAAGAGTCCCTTTAGGCCAGAGAATTGAGCTTAATTTTTTAATGTAAGGATTGGAAAGAACTGATGTGGAAGCTTAAAAGTTTATCTTGAATAAAGCAGTAAACCTCCATGCATTTCTGGTGTATAAAATGGTCATACATCTTGGTCCCTTGGTCATGGCATTCTGCCTCACATGTGTCCTATACCTCAGGGATCTTTTCTAGTCCAGCAAATTTCTATGACTGGCAACTTTGTGTATCAAAAAAATGACTTATCAGCTGCAGTTACATGAAAATGGCATGGCTGTTGTCTAGGCCTAGGAATAATCAACATAATCCAAGTTAAGGGTGGAATTTTGAAAACTGTAAGTGCAACTATTCCAGAAGTTAGGAACAGAAATGTCCATTCCTCCAGGCTCTGCACACAGAAGGCAAGTGAGATACAACCCGGAGAGTTCTTCTGGAGAGGAACAATTTGTTCAGATCTAAATCTTCATTTGGAGGTTATCTGTCTCTATTCCCTGAAATGAACATTGAATTTGAACATAATTATTGTAATTTTGAGGAAGTCTTCATAAGGAGGGGTGGAGGGACAATGACTTCCATTATTTAAAAAATAAAAATGTTTTTATTAAGGTAGCACTGTTTCACAACCCTGTATGATTCAGAAATAGAAGATTCCACCTCTTCAGATTTATGCTACCATACTACACCCACCACCAAGGCACCCATAGTCCATTCTACCTCTCCCTCCTACCCTCTCCAGGCTAGCCTCAGTTTTACAGTCAGATTTCTAGGGTTTATTTTTGTTTTGGTGTTGTCTGACTATTTGTTTTGTTTCTCTATATTCCACATATGAGTGAAACCATCTGGTCTTTCTCTTTCTCTTTCTGGCTTATTTTGCTTTGCATAATTCCCTCCAATTCCATCCATGTTATCACAAATGGCAAGATTTCATCTTTTTTTATACCTGAGAAGTTGAGAGAGAGAGAGAGAGAGAGAGAGAGAGAGAGAGAGAGAGAGAGAGAGAGAGAGAGAACAGATATTACCACATCTTAATCAACTCATTTGTCCTTGGGCACTTAGATTATTTCTGTAATTTGGCTATTGTAAATAGTGCTGCAATGAACTTAGGAGTGCATATATCCCTTTGCATTAGTATTTTTGCATGCTTTGGGGAGATGCTTAGAAGTGAAATTGATGAATCATATGATAAATCTATTTTTAATATTTTGAGAATGTAGACCAATCTACATTCCCAATAACAGTGTGCAAATGTTCCCTTTTTTCCATACCTTTGCCAACATTTGTTGTTTCTGGCCTTTCTGATATGGGCAATTCTCATTGGTGTGCATAGTATCTCATTATCACCTGATGACAAATGATGATGAACATTTTTTTTTTTTCGTGTGCCTGTTGGCCATCTGTGTGTTTTCTTTGGAGGAGTGTCTATTTAGGTCTTCTGACCAATTTTGGTTGGATTTTTTGTTTTCTTTTTGGTGAGCTGATTGAGTTATTTTTAAATACTTAACTCCTTTGTCGTAGATTAATTTTCTGTGTAAGTGTGGATTTATTTCTGGGGCTCTTAGTCCAGTCCTTGCTTTGTAGTATATTTTGAATTCTCAGCCTATGATACCTCTCTTCCTTTTTTGTTAGGATTGCTTTGGCTATTTGGGGTCTTTTTTGGTTCCATGTAATTTTTTTTTCTTTTTTGTACAGATAAGACTTATTTAGGAGTAAGTTGGAACAGACACAAGGGCGCTAGAGATTACAGTGCCACTACTGAAATCATGCAGCCAAGAACTCTGGTTTAAGAGATAGCAAGTAATTTAATCTAAGCTCATATCTTCCTCTTTATCCTTCCTTTCCTTCCGGGTAACTTCCTTACTGTTCTGCATAGCTTAAGCAAACACTTCTGCATCACCCTTGTTGGCAGTCTCCATACCCTCTGTGCAGGCCAGACTGGCACATGAGGGGACCCAGCTACCCCAAGGCCAAGGCTGCACTAAACATGCCCACGACCTGCTGGAACTGGGGCAAGGTCATTGTGATCTAGATCTCCTCTGTGCTCTGGGGCAGCAACTCCCCAGAAAGCAGACAGGACAGCCTGTTTTCCTGCACATCCATGTTGGTGAGGATAGATGCTATGATCTCCAGTGTCAGCACATGGGCCAGGTCAACTTGCTGGCCACCTCCTGGCCTAGATGGTAAGTTCATAATGGCTAGAATGCTCTGGAGGTCACTTAGTTGGATGGGCTGGATGGGCTGGAAGCTCCAGTGCCTGAACTGGGTGCAGGGCTAGAACTGGTAGCCAAGGCAGCTGCTGGAACAAAAGGGGCTGGGATGGCTCAAGAAGAAAAGACAGTGGAGGAGTGGGTGACCACTGCTAACTGGCTCTGAGAGCTGGATGAAGAGCTGCTTGCTCAAGGACCTCTGCCCAGTAATCTGGCCAGGCCTGGGCCAGTAAAGGCCCCAAGCAGGCCTTGTCCTCTGGTGGATGAATGAGCTACATGTTGTGGTTCATGTTCGCCAGCACGCTTTGGAGGCCACCCTCCTCACCCAGTGTGGAGAGGTCTTGGCCTGCACTGCTCCTGGCCCCCAGTGCTCCAGCCGTAGGGTGTCGTTCAGATACTCATTGACTTTGCGGCAGAGCTTCCCCTCCTGGTCTGTCTTGGGCTTCTGCATCCAGAAGAAATGCTGCTTGGAACCCCTGCTGGAGGCACTGGGGCACACATTTGCATTCACCCACAGTCATCAGGAAAGAGGATCAGGGTGTCTTCCATGTTCCTAGAATTCCTGTCTTTGCAGCAGAAGTGAATGAGGGAGTTGGCCGTCTGTTGGAAGTACAGCAGCCCTTTCTGCTTATTGAGGGTGAGAGCAGTTCCTTTTAATGACATATTTCTTGCCCGAAACTCTAGCAGATACTTGTTGGAAGGCCCCATGGGAGCTTTGCACCAGGCTGGGAAACAGTGCACCCGAAGTCATCATTCTGGCCCATATGGTTCCATACAAATTTCAGTTATGTTTGTTCTATTTCTTTGAAGAATGCGTTGATAGGGATTATAATCAATTTGTACATTGCTTTGGATTTGTTAATTTTGCTTATTTTTTCAAAGAATCAACCTTTGATTTTATAGATCTTTTGGACTTTTTAAAAATTCTATTTCATTTATTTCTGCTCTAATTTTTATTATTGCCATCCTTCTAATTGCTTTCAGTTTTATTCGTTCTTCCTTTACTTTTCCTTAAGGTATAAGTTTCGGTTATTTATTTGAGCTCATATTTCTTCATGTGGGCCTGTATTGCTATATATGTTCCTCTTAGCACTGTTTTTTTTTTTTTTTTTTTTTTTTTTTTTAATGTCCCACCGGTTCTGGTACTTCATGTCTTCATTGTCATTTGTCTTGAGGTATTTTTTTTTTTTCTGATTTCCTCATTAACCCAATTGTCATTTAATAGTATGTTATTGCATCTCCACATGCTAGAGGTTCTCCCTGCTTTCTGCAGTTGATTTCTGGTTTGAGACCATGTACCTTCTCTTAGTCAATGGTGCATGCCTCCACACTGCCCACCTCTCTTCTCCCCAGGGCTGCTGGCCAAGTGGCAGAGCTGCGATTCTCCTGCCTAGGACCACAACCTCCAGACATTTCTCTCCATCCACCTCTAGCCTAATGAAGCATGAATCTCTCATTGTCCCTCACGAAATGGCCCTGCTGGTCTCTGATGTCATAGATGTGTTCTAGTTTTGCCCCATGTTATGCAACCCTCTGGGTACAGTGCAGGTGTGAGTTAACTTTTACATTATTCTCCCAGAAGCAAAGTAAGGAACCACCACTGATACCATCTTTGACCAGATTTATTTTTATTTATATTTTATATCAAATCTTTAAAAAACATGGAGCCTCAACTCCTAAATTTTTGCTAAATCCCTTTTATGAATACACTGTTTCGATTATCATAACCAAAGGAAACTCTGTAAATAACTCAGAAAAATATCAACATTGGTTTTTGGTGTTATATCAACTCCTCTGTGATTGCTGTAACCTCTAGTTTTCTTTGCTTGGGAAACTGCAGCCTCTGATTGCACTAACATACCCCTTATTGTTAAAACAGGCGGTTGGGTCATGACCATGTTGGTGTATTCCTTCTTATCATTTTGTCACTAGAAGACTCATTAATCATGGCTGATTTGATTGTATCTTGGGTGTGATTCATAACGTGATACAGCAGTTACTGTGGAATATAGGAACAATGAAAATTAAAGTTAGGAAGAATTCTTCCCAAAATATGAAGAGTATGAAAAGTTCATAACATGGGAAATAGAGCCAGAAATTCCATATTCTGCCTACTGTGAATCCAGGTAGAGAAAATTATAAGAAGACAAGCATGTAATAATAGAATAGATTCTTCCCTCAGACATATGACAAGAAAGGGATATTTTTTAGATGAAGCTTAGAGAAGTGCTTTCAAGGGATATGTAGCAAATGTAGTGATTGGGTTTTGGACTAAAAACTTTCTTATACTTTTAAGTTCAATTTATGAATATGATCATTCCATTTTAAAGTCCAGAAGATTTTAGTACTCAATTTTAAGGAGACTTTAATTATCCTAGGGATCTACCCAAAGGACACAAAAACATTAATTCAAAAGGATACCTGCACTCCTATGTTTATTGCAGCACTATTTATAATAGGTAAGACTTTGAAACAAGCCAAATATCCAAAAATAGATGACTGGATCAAGAAGATGTGGCATATATACACAATGGAATATTATTCAGCAATCAAAAAAGAAAAACTCATGCCATTCGCAGCAATGTGGATGGAGCTAGAAGGAATTATGCTCAGTGAAATAAGCCAGAAGGAAAAAGAAAAATATCAGATGGTTTCACTTATAGGAGGAATATAGGGGAACCAAATAAGGGATCAGGGAAAAAAAATAATAACAATAAAACAAAACAAAACAAAAATAAGCAGACAACTATAAATCAGACATTCTGCAGTGGAGGGGGAGGGAGGGGATCAAAAAGAGGGCAGGAAGAGCACAAGGGACTACCGGTGATGGTTCACAGGTGAATTGATGGTGGAAATTTTATGGGGACTACACCTGAGAAAACAAAGCAAATGCTGGTTGCAATTGTATGGGGAATATAAAAATAAAATTTAAATTGAAAAAAAAAAAAGAAAGCAAATGCTGTAAAAAAAAAAAGAACAATGATGTAAAATATATATAAATTAATTAATTAAATAAGAAAAATAAAAGAAGATAAAATCTCAATGTGCATTTTGTACAAGCTCATTAACACAAATATAAGATTTTTAAATTAATTTAAAATTTATATTACTTAAAATTATATAAATTGAATTATTTATATAGAAAAGAATTGTCCAAAAATAAAGTGTTCTGGGCCTCCCCTGGTGGCACAGCTGTTGAGCGCTGGGCTGCAAGGCTTCCTCCAGTCTCTGCAGTGCCGGTTCATTCCCCAGCTGCTGGTGAGAGTCCCACAAAAAAAATAAATAATTAAATAAATAAATAAAATAAAAATAAAGTGTTCTGTGTGTTCCTTAAGGGACAAAAAAAAAAAAAAGACATCTTGTGACATAATCAATTTCTAATAAAACATTGGAAAATTAAAAAAATTAGATTTCCTTTTTAGCTTCTTAAACTATGAATTAAATATTTTTGATATACTTTTTTCAATGTAGCCTTTCTTTTTTCTTTTTTTTTTTAGTTGAGATAACATTGGTTTACAACATTGTATATGATTCAAAGTGTGGGGTGACACCTTTCATATGTACATTACGACATCACAACCACCACCACAGTCCACTATAGAACATTGTGTCCCATCCTCACTTTTCTCTCCCCATTGTCCCTCCCCCTCTGGTAGCCTCAGCTCTACAGTCAGATTTCGAGGGTTTGTTGTTGGTTTGGTTTCATCTGACACTTAGTTTTGCTTCTCTCTATTTCACATATGAGTGCAACCACCCAGTATTTGTCTTTCTCCTTCTGATTTAATCAGCTTAGAGTAATCTCCTCTAGTTCTATCTATGTTGTTGCAAAAGTCAAGAATTTATTTTTCAATAGCTGAGTAGTATTACATGGTGCATACATACCACATCGTTCTAACCACTCATCTGTCCTTGGGCACTTGAGTTGTTTCTGTAACTTGGTTATTACAAACAGTGCTGCATTGATCAAAGGAGTGTACATATCCCTTTGAACTAGTGTTTATGCATTCTTTGGGTAGATATCTAAGAGTAAAATTTCTGGATTATATGGTCAATCTATTTTTAATATATTGAGGAATCTCCATACTGTTTTCCATAGGGACTGAACCAGTTTACATTTCCATCAACCATGTTGGAGGGATCCTTTTTCTCCACATCACCAATACCTGTCATGTCTGTTTTGCTTTGCCTTTTAATATGGGTCATTCACACAGAAGTGACGTGGTATCTCATTGTGGCTCTGATTTATATTTCTCTAAGTTAAGTTATGATGAGCATTTTTTCATGTGCCTGTTAGCTATCTGTATGTCTTCTTTGGAGACATGTCTGTCTATTTAGCTATTCTGCCCAGTTTTTGACTGGGTGCTTTGTTTTCTTTTTATTGATTTGTATGGGTTCTTTGTAGATTTTGAATATCAGCCCCTTATCAGATGTATGTGTGCAAATTTTGTCTCCCATTCAGTAGTTGTCTTTTTGCTTTAGTGATAACCTTCTTAAGCATTTCAATTAACTGGCAAATCTTCCCAAATCATTGCTTAGCTCATAAATCTAATTTATTAAACTTATGAATGTGATGAAATTTGGATTTTCTTAAATGTTTCAATACTGTATGTAAACTTACATGAGATTTCATCTTAAAATCACAACCCTGAATCTGTTACTCAATTGTACATTTATAAATTGAACTTAGAAGACTAATTTGTTGAGACAATCATTTAAAAATTATAAATACTTAAAATTCTTTACATGAATGATTCCTTAACACAAAAATATCAACATTATGGCTTTGATATGCTTGAACATTTCTTTACTTAATTCTAAGTTTCTCCATGTTAAAACAGGCTTACTATTAAGGGAATGATTCTTTTATGGCAGGCTATATTGGGGACCACCTTTTCCACTGATTGAGATTTTGGACCCAGACATTGAATGAGGACAGAATTCTCGGTACATGCGGTAGCCTATCTATAGTTATTGCATCAAATCCTCCACACAGGTTGTCTTAGTCCTTTACAGCACAGGGAAGGTGCCTTCCCAAGCTGAAGTCATACTTAGAATTTTCTGTCTTTTCTGCCTACTCATGAAAATCTGCAGCCCCCGCCAAGCTGTCATGTCATTTGATGGGATTTTATTATTCTTTATCTCTTAAGATATTTAAATATATTTTCTTCTAAGTGTAAAGATTTCTGAACTTAATGTAACCCTGTAACTTCCCTCCATATATTTCCTCTATGATAAGACTACTCAGTTTTACCCAAATAAAGGTGATATCCTTATAAATTCTAGGTCACTCCCATTTCAAGTTAATTCAACTAACAGCCCTAAAATTGAATGTCAGTATTTCTTAGCTGTTAATGCCTTGAGGTGGTGACAATGTAATTTTGTTCATCTAAGCGCTTGTGGGAGGAATTAGTAGGACTGAAGCAAACTGTTAAAATGGAGGCAAGAAAGTGCCTCTTATTTGATTTCTCTCATGAACCGGGCCTATTGTGCTTGTTTTAAATAGTCTAAATAGAGGATAAAAGATTTTAAGAAACTGGAGATGAAGCCTCAAATAATTTCCTATTTGATGATTTGTGTCTGAAGGCAGCTGTATATTGGCTGTAAAACATGCAGGAATAAGCTTGCCTGAGTAACCTAGGGACTTAACAACTTAGGATGCAATAATTCTTGCATCTGTTCAGAAACTTACCCAGGTTCTCTTCGCTCTCAGATCAAGTCAAATTAATTAGCTTGGCTCTTAAATAAAATTAAATCATTTCAGTGGAAAGTAATTCAATATATTATCATTGTCCAACACAGCCTTGTGGTAATTGAAAGGTTCGGCGTGGTAAAGAATATCCAGGCCTAGCTTCCTCTGGGAAGGGAAAGTTTATTGCTCCCAGGCAACCTCAGGGACCCACAGGTATCCGCATTCCTGCCAGCCAGGTGGGCTTCCTGGTAGGCTTTTGCGTTCAGGCCTCCTGCTTGGACCTTTCAGTAATCAGGTTGATTTGTTCTCAGTGTTTATTTTAATTTCCATATCTATGTTGCATTAACCACTCTCTCTTCCCTCCTACTCTCAGCTTAATTGCTGATGATTTTTTTTAAAAGATTTATTTATTTATTTATTTATACAAGCACTGGGTACAGTCAGAAGCGGGGGAGGATGAGAGAATTCACCAGAGCCAGAGCAGAGAGCAGAGCAGGCAGACTGACGAAGTACACTGCTGAGGGGAGCAGCGGGCGGCAGGAGAGGTCTGAGCCCCATGTGGGACACTCGCTGGCAGCTTTGCAACCCAGTGCTGCTCAATCGCTCGCCACCCAGGACGCCCTGCTGAGGATTTTTTAAGGCCCAATTCAGAACTGTTCTCTACTCCATACTGCCCTCTTCTGTCAATAAATTCCTGCAGCACAGAGCTCAGAACATGGATTTGTATGCTGTACAGTCCTTAATTACCTCACACATAAATTCTTCCTTCTCACAACATTATAGCTATATAAAGAGACCACACATCATAGCACCCAAGGAATCTTTTGCATCCTAAATCATTGTCTCTACATGACTCTGAGACTGTAACCAAAGTGCGGGGGGGAGGGCTGAAGTCAAAGACTGTTACAGGTGGTGCCCGGGAGGGGATTGCGGGTGAGGATGAATGAATGGCCCCAGGTGAGAAATACAAACAAAGCGTGGAGGGGGGATGGGGGTGGAGTCTCTGATAAGAAATATAAAGGACTGCAGAAACCACCCCCAGGATTCAGTGTTTGGGATTTCAGCGCTTTCAGATCTTCAGCTATTCTGGGCTCAGCTATTTGTGCCTGCACCATGTCAGTCTTCCCGAAGGCTATTGGGGGCCTCTGAAGAACGTGGAGAGGCTTCCAGCAGCCAACCTCAGAGGAGAAAAGTTCAGAGGTTTTGCAGGTAGCGAGCAACTGAAACATTTCCCAGGTTTGCTGCTGTTATGGCCTGGAAGGGAAGGTAAAAACCCAGAGCCGGGCGCCTCACTGAGCTGTGTGAGTGTGGCCATTTGTCAGGTCATTCGGCTGCTGCAGCTGCTGTTTTCAGTGTCGCTTGTCTGGCGCTGTGTTGGGGGATCTCGGCAGCCCTGGTGAGCATCTCCTGTGGCGTCTTAGGCTGTCTTCGTGAGTTGGATCCTGGCCTGTGGTCTGGCTGCCACCAGCTCCAGGCCCTCAGTGGCGGGAAGACGCCATCTTGGGACTTTAAAACACTGGGCACTGCTTTGGGTGAGGTAAATGGCCATTTGTGGCCCCAATGACTCTTTGTTTTTCTTTGTTTGTTAAATAAATCCTATTATTGTTGTTCTCTGAACCTAAGTAGTTTTGCAATTTTGCACACGGGTGAAGAGCTCAGTGACTGGTAAACTATTTGGGCAATGTCCTTGTCCAGTTTTAGTGCCCCTTGTTGCCCTGTATCAAGACCAAGCGTTAGTGACTTGTCCAGGATGGTGCAGTTGTTACAGAGCAGCTCCGATATAAAACGCGTTGCCTGGCTGTGGGTCCTCACCCGTGCGCTTTAAAGGACTTATTAATACTCCACTACAGGCACACACAAAAGGTTAATAAAAGGTTTATTTGCAAGGGAAAGGGAAATGAGGAAATGTACAACTCAGGGAGAAAATAGGGAAATAAAGTCTTTTATGCGTCCTACGTGATCCGCCGACCTGGAAACCCAAAGGCACTCTCAGAGCTGGCCGGACACTGCGAGCTGGCGGGGAGCCAAAAAGGGCACCCCCCCCCCCAAGCCCATGTGTCTGGTTTTATACCAAATCTGGCTGCTTAACCCCACCCTCAGTTTCCAGCAACCTTCCCTTTGGTGGTGATGGGATTTGTCTTTCCCAGTGTCCTCATGGCTTTGGTCTGGAGTGGGGTGGAGTCCTCAAAGCCTGTATGGAATTAGCTTTAGGACATCCTTTCCCCCTAACAGTGAATTAGCGACTGAGCCCAGAATGGAACGTGTCTCCTGACACCAGAAGTGGAGGCTCTTTCTACTCAAAGATTTTGCTACTGCAGTGAATTGCTCGGTTCATGTTTAGATGGATCTGTTTTATTTTAAAGACCATCTATTCCCCCACCCTGCTCTTCACATAATTATTTAGAGGTAAAGACCTAAGTTTCTGTTCAAATATTTTTGGTTATTTGATTCTGGTTAGAAATTGTCTTTGTCCGTTTGGGCTGCTGTAACACAATATGTAGAGTAACTTAAGCAGCAAATATTTCTCATACTTCCAGAGGCTGGGAAGTCCACGATCAAGGTTCGCTGTTAGGAGAATGGATGCTTGTGAGTCTGGATGTATTTGCCGGTTGAGGAATAATAGCCCACACCAAACGTGAAAGCAAGCAAGTGTGGATTTATTGAAACAGGAGGAAAGAACTCCTGACAGCTGGAGGGGCTCCAAGGGAGGAAAACCGTTTTACTCCAGTCCTGTCTATGACTATAAACTGCAAGACTTCCTGTTGCCCAGTGTGCCAGACTATTGATTAGGCACTAGGTGGTCAGGAAGTTTTGTGGTGATTGCTTTTCTGTCCCCCAATTATCCTGTAACCAGATCTTCCAGGTGGTGGCCAGCTCAGCAACATTTCCGCAAAACACTTCTATTTTTCTGGGAATTGTTTTGTTCCTTGTGTTCCTGTATTGTTCAAAATCACTGTCCGGTGTCTCAGCCTTTTCCATTCCCCCAGTCCTCCTGTTCCCTGTTCCTCTCATCAGTACATCTGGTGTTTGGTAAAGGCCTGACTTGTGGTTTAGGGATGGCTATTTGCTTGTTGTAATTTCACATAGTAAGAAGAGAGATTATTTTTCTCCTGTCTCTTTTTATATGGACAATAATTCCATCATAAGAGTTATACCCTTACGACCTAATTATTGTGCAATGGCTTCACCTCCAATGCTATTACTTTTAGGGTTAGAGTTTCAACGTATGAATTTTGAGGGGCACAAACATTTGGTCTGTAGCAGAGATTGAGGAGAAGTGTCAACAGGACAGGGAGAGCCAGGACACACCATTCTCCCAGCATATATCCCTTACCCACTCCCCACACTCCCAGAAGTGTGTCTAAAATTTATTGCATATGTGATGTGTCTACATTATGGATCAATGACTTAGGACGGAAGACCTTGTATAACAGCCATAACAGCAGAAAAAAACAGTAGCAGTGATGCTGCCCTCTAGTGGCAGATCATGGAAACAGCCCATTAGCAAAAGAACCCCTTTCACATCCTAACAGAAGCTCCCTTAACCCAAATAAGTAGTAAGCCCTCAAATAATGTTAGTAGAGTTTGGGTTATTCAAAATCTGCCTAGATTTTAATTTATTAATACTTTGTTAGTACTTGAACCTATCATCATGGCTTTACTTGCCCTCTCCTCCCACTTCGTTCTTAAGTGCTAACATCTAATATCTCAGAATGTGACCCTACTTGGAAATAAAGTAATTGTAGATATCATTAGTTAAGTTAAGGTAATACGTTGACTTCAGTGATGTGTTTAGGGACTAGATTCTAACAACAAGGAAAATAAAAACAAAATAAGCAAATTCTGCACTGAGAAAAACTATCATTAAAATGAAAGTTACCCACTGAGTGGGAGAAAATGTCTGCACATCATACGTCTGACAAGAGATTAATATCCAATATTTAAAAAGAACTATTACAACCCAACAAAAAACAAACAAACAAAAAAACAATAAAAAATGGGCAGGAGAGCTAAATAGATACTCTCTAACTGACAAGATGAAACCAAAATGAACTCTAGAAATATGACTGCAGAATTGAGGCTACTGGAGGAGGAATTTGGGGGTGGGCACAAATCTTGAAGGTGGCCCAATATATGGGAAGGGTGCTTAAGTGGTGGCTGTGGTGTGATGATATAAATCTAAGAAGACGTGAATTTTTTTTTGTAGAACAATTGGGGTACAGAGGTGAGAGGATTCACCAGAGACAGAGTGGGGAGCAGAACAGGTGGATTTACTGAAATACACAGCTGAGGGGAGCAGTAGGTGAGGCAGGAGAGGTCTGCTGCCCCTCCTGTGGGTTAACTCCCAGGCCGGGGATGGAACTCAGGCAGTAGTGATGACAGCGCTGAGACTTAACCTTTAGGACATCAGGAAGGCCCTCCAGAGAAGATGTGAACCTATCCCCCTGTATCACATACAATATTGTAAATCAGTGGTACTGCAGTGGTACTAATAACAAAATTAAAAATTAAAAAAATGAGGTTATACTGGAGTTTGGTGGGTCCCAATTCAATAGGACTGATACTGTAAACACCATGGCTCTACTAAACCTTGATTTGGACTTCTAGCCTCCAGAACTGTGTGATAATCAATTACTGTTATTTAAGTCACTCAATTTGTAGTACTTTGTTACAAAGTCATAGAAAATTAACACATCCACTACTTAGTATTTTTCTAAGTTTAATATTTTAGATTTCAAAATGAGGAATGTGTTTGAGTTGGAAAATGGTATCCTAAATGAAGGCAATATGGCAAATGCCTGGGATAAAGATACTCTCCCAAGTTTCATCCCCAGCCATGAAGTGCAATATACTTACTGAGAAATCTGCTGACAACTCATCTTGTTATATGTTGATAATGTTTTTATGGCCAAGTTGCAAGTTTCCTTATCCTGGTCTTTTTGTCATTTTGACATTCTTCGGGTTGATAGAGTTTACACTTGTAGAGTAAATCATTTATCAGTTAGTGACTTCTGCATTTTATCTTTGGTGTTGTATCTTTTTATATGTCTGATCTCTAACTGGACCATGAACTCCTTGAGTCATTTACACTATTATAAAGTTATTGAGTTTTCTGGGGGATTTTGGCTTTATCCTGAAAAATGCAAGATACTTTATTGCAAAATGGCCCCTGTATTAGTCTGGGTTCTCCAGAAAAAGCGGTAATATCTGTTTTTGAATATCTGTGTGTGTATGTATATATATATATATATATGTGTGTGTGTGTGTGTATATATATATATATATAGAGAGAGAGAGAGAGAGAGAGAATATATATTATATATATACCTTTTAATGATATGATGATGATTAAAATATATTTAGTTTTATGTCAGCTTGGCTAGCTCAAAGTACCCATGAGTATATATAGAAGTTGATATGTATAACCAAGCTGACACATAAAATTAAACATCATACCTTTGTCATCTACATATATATCAAATCCCATATATATGTCAAATCTCTCCCTATTTACAGAGACAGAAAGAGAGAGAGGGAAAGAGAGAGAGAGAAAGAGGGAGGGAGGGAAAGAGAGAGAGAGAGAAAGAGATTTTTAAAGTCTCCCTGATTTTAGAAGCCGACAAGTCCAAAGTCTGCACAGTAGCTGTGTAAGCTCTTCAGTGCTTAATGAAGCTGACTGGTAGGCCAGGAAGAGTTGGTGCTACAGATTAAATCCAAAGGCCATCTGCTGGCAGAATTCCCTCTTCTTTAGTGGAGGTCAATTCTTTTCTAATAAGGTCTTTACTGATAAGGTGAGAACCATCCCATATTATAGAAAGTAATCTGCTTTATTCAAAGTCTGTAGATTTAAAAAAAAATGTAACAAATACTTTCACAGAAACATGGAGAATAACATTTGACCAAATAACTGTGTGCAATGAGCTAATCAGGTTAACAGGTAAAATGAGATATCATAGACCCCATGAATTCCACCTCTTTTGATTCATGCCTGTTTGTAGGCCCCTTCAATAGTCATTTTGGACTGTTCCTACGATATTCTTTGATCAATAGAATGTGGTTAAAATGAAACTTACCAAGTTCGATTGTAGACAGTAAGAGATCTTGTAACTTGTACTGTTGCTGTCTTGGGAGTCAGTGTCCATTTGAAGAAGGCAAGGCTAGTTTGTGGGGAAGGCTTCATGGGAAAGAGGTCTTGGAGAAGAAAAATCATGAGGTAGAGGTCTAGCCATTTTGGCATTTCCAGTCATCTTAACTGAGCCCCTAAATATGTGGGAAATGTCATCCTAGATCCTTTAAGCTCTAGTTAAACTTCCAAATGGATTGACCAAATAAACATGTAGAACAAAGGCATCCTGCCAAGTCCTGCCCAAATCACATAACCATGAGTAAATAAATGGTGGCTATGTTTGAAGACACTAACTTTTGGAGTGGTGTTTTGTGTTTTAGTAGGTAACTGATCTTTGCAGCAAAAATTTCTGCAAAATAGTTAACTGAAAGGAGAAATGTAGGGATGCATAGTAGTTTTATGAAGGTCTTTGAAAATATCAACTTATCTTGCTTTAGATAAGATTCAGATTTCATACTACTATTTTCAGAACTAATTTCAACATTGTGTATCTAGTGTTCTGAATATAAATGCTGGGTTTACCTTTCATCTGAATCAGTCTTTCTAGAGAGAAAAGAAGAAAAACTATTTCCTACACTAAGTTTCTTAGCTTAACCATAGTTGACCATTTATCTCCATTTAACTTTCAATATTGAGCACACACCTGAGCCCAACTCACATTCTATTCATACGTCAGTCTTGGGATTGTAAATTTGTGGGTCTTCAATGAAGACCATCATGGAAACATTCATCAAAATTAGAAATAGATTTTCTTTTTGGCTTAATAATTCCATGTCTGGGAATTTATTGTTAAGAAAGTGATGATGACGATAACAATAGTAATTGTAGTGGAAACTAGTACAGCACTTAGATGTCAGGCATTGTTTAATCCATCTACATAGGCAAAGTCATTGATTCGCTGCACTGACCTGAGCTCTCACTGATGAGGAACTAGGACACATAGCTGGTGAGTGTGGGAGCTGGCTTCAACCCCCAGCAGTCTATCTCTAGAATCCATGTTCTTTTGACTTCTTAAATATATATGGATGTAGGAGAAATATAAAAATGAGTTTTTACAACAGGATTGTCTGATAGAAAACAATAGGAAATAATCAAATTGTTATCAAGGAAACTCTAGTTAAATAAATGATCACATCCATACAACTGTCATTTATATCTTTTTAATAAAAGAAGATGCACTGTATGGATTCATATGGAAAAGTCTCCAATACAAACTTTTAAATAATAATCAAGGTGCACAACAAAATAAAGCCCAAGGGGAAGTCTAATTACACATTTGATCTCTTGTCACTTTCAAGCTTATTGCAAATTTGATCAGTTCCCTTAGGAGGATTACGTAGAACTGTAGTTACCAAACTTTAGCTGCCATCAAATTGGAAGGCTAGGGTCTCCCTGGTGGCACAGGGGTTAAAGACAGCACTGTTGAGGTCTGGACCGGCCAGGGAAAAACCCACATGGCGCAGCAGACCTCTCCTGCCTCACCCACTGCTCCCCTCAGCAGTGTATTTCAGTAGATCTGCCTGTTCTGCTCCCCACTCTGTCTCTGGTGAATCCTCACCCCCCTGCACCTCTGGCTTACACCCCAGTTCTTGTAGGTATAAATAAATCTTTAAAAAAAAAATTGGAGGACTAGTTAAAACACAATTGCTGGGTTCCAACCCCAGAGATTCAGTAGATTTCCTCTTTTATTTAATAGATTATTGCCTCTTAGAAACTCTATTTTGATGATTGTAGGGTAAATGGAAGTTATCAGGTTTTTTCCGCTCTCCTGCTATTAACATCAATGATGGACACCTGTGGGCTGACACGCGTGCCTGGTGGCGGCACCTGGGGGGTGGTGCGGGTGTGCGTGAGTGGCGCACCTGAGCCTGGAGGCTGAGCACACACGGGCGGTGACGCTGCAGAGCAGAGGACAGTGCGGCAGAGACCAGCTGTAACGGCAGGAATGGACAGTGCAGGATCTCTGATTCTAGCAGACGGGGTAGGAGAAGTCCTGGAGCCCTCAGTGGCTTTTCAGGCTTTTATTGGGATTTTACTGGGTACACAGCAGGCAGAGGTGCCAGGGGGCTGGGAGGATGGCAGTTCTCCCAGCCCCCAGCAAGTCTTCACTCTACCTGGGCTCTCTGGCATTATGTGCTGGTCTCTGCTTCTCTTTTGCTCCTTTCTTTCGCTTTCATTCTCTCTTTCGTTCTCTGCGCTCCTCATGGTTCGCCTTCTCTCGGCTTCTGCTGGCGTCCCCGTGAGGCCACCCTTATGAGCCCAGTCTCAGCACAGGTGAATCCCATCTACGCATGCCCACACCCCACTCCAGGTGCCCGCCATAGGGCATGCATTCAGGACCGCAAGGATCCATCATCTATCCTAATGGCGGGAGGGCAGAAAAGCCTGATACTTTTCATTTACCCTACACCAGCCAAGAGTCCAGGAGAGAATGCCTGAGAGCCCAGAAAGAGTAAAGATTCTCCTGGGGCTGGGAGACCTGCCAGCCCCCTTTCTCTACCCCCCACCCCGCCACTGGCCTGTCCTGCACCTGGTTGCCCCACTACAAGTGATGTAGAAATAGCATTTAAAGCCTAAAAAGGGCCTCCCCGGTGGTGCAGCGGTTGAGCGCTGGGTTGCTAAGCTTCCCTCAGCCTCTGCAGCGCTGGTTCGATCCCTGGCTGCTCCCCGGCCACCGGAGGAGGGTCCCACATGGCGCGCAGACCTCTCCTGCCGCCCGCTGCTCCCCTCAGCAGTGTACTTCGGTCCTTCTGCCTGCTCTGCTCCCCGCTCTGGCTCTGGTGAATTCTCTCACCCTCCCGCGCTTCTGACTGTACCCAGTGCTTGTATAAATAAATAAATAAATAAATAAATAAATAAATCTTTAAAAAAAAAAAAAAAGCCTAAAAAGCCACCGAGATCTCCAGGGCTCTCCTTTACCCGTCTGCCCAGATCATAGAAAACCTGCTCTGTGCCTTGCTAGAGCTACAGTGATCAAATTGTCCTCTATACAAGACCAAAAAAAAAAAAAAAGAATAACATCCTTTTTTTGGTAAAGCCTTTCTTAATCTACCAGGAACAGAATTCTGTCTGGAGGTGAAGAGTCATTTATTCATTCTTTTATTTTTTCAGTTGAGGATGTGAAGGGTTAGGGAAGAACATGGGTCCCTGGGCAGAAGGTCGGAGCTGCAACTGCAGAGACATCAGCTTTATAGTGACTTAGCGGTGGATTAATTTGCTGGGGCTGCTGCAACAAAGTACAACACCTGAGAGGCCAGAAGTCTAAAACCAAGGCCTCAGTGAGATTGGTCTCCTCTGCCCTGGGATGGAAGAATCTGTTCCAGGCCTCTCTCCTTGGCGGATGGCTGTCTTCTCCTGTGCCGCTTCATGTTGTCTCCTCTCTGTGCATGCCCGCTGTAGTGCCAGGAAGGGCACAGAGCAGGTTATCTATGAACCGAGCAGACAGGGTAAAGGAGGCGTCCTGGAGCCCTGGGTGGCTTTCTCAGGCTTTTATTGAGCTTTACATGCAGTGTGGCAACCAGATACATGACAGACAGCGGTGCGGGGTGGGGGGAGGGGCGCAGGCAGGAGGTCGGGCAGGCCTCCAAGCCCTGGCAAGTCTTTGCTCTGGGCTTCTCTCTCACTCCTCTCTCCTGCCTCTTTCTCCTGCTTCTGCTTGTCTCAGTGACCATCTCAATATTCCTCCCATGGCCCACAGAAGTAAACAATATAGTTTGCAACAATGTAACAACTGCAGGTGCCCCATCAGGCAGGGCAATCCTGATGGTGGGAGGGCAGAAGAAGCCTGCAAACTATTTACCCTACACCCTTGTCTAAATGCCCTGGTAAGTACACAGACATAGGGAAAACCCATTGTCATGACCTCATTTGGACTCCATTGCCTCGGAAACACCCCTCTCTCCTGATAAAGTCACATTCGGAGTACTGGAAGTTAGGACTTCAACATGATGAATTTTTAGGGGGACACAAATCAGCCCTTCACAGATGGGTTGTATTGTGAGATTTTGTTTCTTTCAGAATCTACCCTGTGCCAACACCACCGGTGGATTAACTGCAGCTGTCAAGAAACCGGCTACTTAATGAAGTGCGTGTACTGAAAGCAGGTGTGGGTATCACAGTGTAACTTCTTATTGCCAACTTCCTTTCCCCAGGAAGTGGCACTGGTGGTGCCCGCGCTCAGCCTCTGCTGGAGCCGCCCAGCAAAGGCCCAGGAAGCAGAGCTCAGGGGATTCTGGGCCACCTGCTCTGGGATTGCCTTTCTCCTTTTTGTTTCCTTTCCCTCTGTGTTGCTTGTCTGGACATTTATACTTTGGCCCTGTCAGTTATTCCCTCCCCTTCTTGATTGTCCTGAGTGACCTAACCCATAAATCCAGTCACTTTGTTATGCTCTCTTTCAGTAAAGAATAAGGAAGTTGCAAGCAGAATAATAGACCAGAGGATTAGACATCTGTTTATTAGGTGATGTACAGTTGTTTCGTGTCCTGTCAGATTAACATCTAAAACCTAAGGGAAAAAAAAAAAGAAGACATTTGAGAGATCACTGAAAGGAGAAATTTTTATTTTTTAGAGTAGTTTCCAATTAAACTTCTTGGCTCAAGAAGAAAAGAAGCCAGTTGTTTGTCACCCCGCAGTGGATTTGTGGTTTGGCTTCCCATGGCTTCCCTTCGAGCATGTAACGGCAGGATACTGGTGGCTGTTGTGTGTGGGCTGCTGACCACCATCGTTTTGGGACTGGGCGTGTGGAGGACTGTGACCAGGATCCAGGAAGGTAATGTCCTGCTGTGTTTAATTCGGAGTGAGGGAAGGTGCCGAGCCTCTGCCTCCATGACCAGACACCTTGTGTTGGCTGAGGTGCCCTGCTAGGTACCATTTATGAAGTAGGAAAGAAAGGGTCCACTGAAGGCTGGCTTAGTATGTACAAGAATATGTGTGTGTGTGTGTGTGTGTGTGAGATAGGTGTGAGAGAGAGAATGAGAGTACAGTAACTAATGACATGGTTGAATTGGTCACTATGCTCTTTAAACTCTTGACTGAATGGATAGCAAAGTAATACTTTAAATCATTAATAACACATTTTTTGGGTTTGTGTAGCTCAATGCAACAATGGAAAATAGGTATGGATCCATAGATATAGACACACATAATCGAATATGTGCAGGAATTTCATTTCAGGAAGGAAGTTTAGGAATATTCTCACTAGGATTGTAAATAAAAGGTTAGTGTACAAAGTTCCTGCTTTCCAAGTGTCAAAAACAACTCAAAAATCAAGGTCATTTTAAAAATATTTTCCTGATTATTTAACAGATATTTGTTGGCCACCTGCTGTATGCTAGAGCTGAACTGGGAAAACAGCAGATGATGAGAGGTATGGTATGTAAAACAAGGTGTTAAAGGAAGGTCTTTAGCAACTTGCTGTACTTTCGATAACCCTAAAGCCAGTTGCCTCGGACTGTGCAGATTCTGCATAAAGAGAGTCAAAGTCAGATACACTGAGTATCTCCTGTTTGTTACAAGCAGAAAGCTTCTAATGAAGTCAAGCAGATAAGGATAAATAGTGACAGTTAAGAGAGGGCAGTAAGAGTGGTGGTCTCGCCCCTGAGAAGGTGATGGAAGGGACAGAGGTTGGGGGAGCAGCAGGGGCACCATGCATGGCTGCAGAGATCACTGTTGAGGACAAGAAGAGTCAAATGTAGTGACTGCTGGTGGAATGGTACCTGAGACCAAGTCTGTTCCCTCCTCCCCCACGAGAGGACACACTTAGAAAACTAGCATGATGCCATTTAACAGAATCAAACAATACAATTTAAACTTGCGAAAATATGTTTTTTTGTTTCTAAGATAGTGTAATTTGAGGTCTTAAAAAGTTATGAACTACAGACCTACCCAACTATTGCTGTTGAGTTTATAGGACCTTATTTAAAGGGTATCTCTTAAAGAAATATTTTTATGTGCTCACTTAATTTATTTAAATGATATAGCCTCTTAAAGGAAAATTTATGGTGACTTATTTGTGGTGAGGTAGCACAACAGAATCATTAAAATAATGAACAAAGTACAAGGATTTCCTTAAGAAAGAGGACAGGGTGGAGGTATATAAACTGTCAGAGAGTAGGGGTAGTTGCTCAAAATAAATGCAAAACATATCCCTGGATTTCCAGAGGGCTGAGACCCAAAATGAAGCATGATAAGTTACAAAAATCCCACCCCTAACAGTAAAAACTTACCAATCCTCAGGAAAAAACAAACGTTTCTCTATGTCTGAGCAATAATTTTCAATTGGAGTTTTATATGAGGGACACCCCTCAGCTTTGGGGTAAACCCAATGGGAAAAGAAGGGGTTATTGCTATCAGTAAGAATAAGATTGAAAGACTGATATGTTTGCTGCTATAGTTTGCCTTACATGTTTTATTCAGATTTTGTTTCAGTTTGAAAATTCTGGTTCTACTTCACTCTGTTCCACCTCTTTCCATCCCATCTCACCCCATCTCGTTTATTATTGGATGATCTCATTTTGAACCGTTACTTGGGTATAGAGATTGTTTTAAAATTTATTTTCTATTTTTAAATTTATTTTCTGAGGGGAGAGTCATGACTATCTGAGAACCAGATGAAAACAATGACTGTCTTACAAAATTGTGTATAAACAGATATGCATGCTATTTGGGGTAATTTGTTTTATTACATTAAAAATTTATTTTGTCAGTATAAAACCAAATATATAAATTATATTCATTTTTATTTTTTATAAAAAATAATGGTCCCTTGTGAAAAAAAATAGAAAAAAGTCCAAATTCTACTTGTAATAAATTTCAGGAGAAGTCACTGATGTTTTGCTCTAGAATGAATATTTGATGTGGCTATATGTATGCTATTTATGTAGTTCATTATTCTAAAACCTATAGTTTATAAAGTTCTTGGTATACTCTAGGTACTATACTAAAAAATTCACAAGCTTTATCTCATTTAATCCTGACAACACCTTTGAGGCAGATATTATTATATCCATGTTATATGGGAAATTAAGTCTCATAGGATGTTTCTAACCTTCCATAGCTAGAAAATATTGGGTCTGGTTTTGCATCTAAATCATTCTGACTTTAGTATCTGGGCTCTCCACACTCATACTGTTCTGCCTTTCTAGATGCAAGACAGTGGTAACCCAATTAATTTATCTTTTCTTTTTGAGGCAACTATGGCTGGAAAACCCCATTTCACAAAAATATGCAGTAAAGTAGAATCAGACATTTTGTTGTTTTGTGCAGTAAAGTTAGGCATTTTGGGAAGTCATGTTGTTTGTCTTCAAGTCAGTGAGCTCTGGATTTCTAATGTTTATATAGAGTAGATTAGTATTCATGCTTCAGTTTTAAGGTATTCTAAAGTCTTCAACTGATGACTATAGGTTTTTGACTGTGAAGTAAGCATCTACTATGTTGTGTGAAATACTTCTTCCAGTTTTGCAAAGTTATGTGATTTTTTTACTGTTGATCTTCTAGCCTAGAAAAGCAAAAGAGACTATATTCAGACTGCATTTTGCCTGGAACACTGTTCATTTTCTGAAAGTATTTTTCCTGGTGATAGCCTTTAAGAAAACTACTCCTCTCATATACATAGCTCCAACATCGACTAGCCATCAGATGAACCATGAATGAGTTCATCTCTACTTTTTCTAAGTCTGAGTTTACAATTTTAAAAGACTAGTAAAATGAAATTTAAAAAATGAATCATTAAAAAATAATTGATTTAAATATTAAAAAATTGTACTTTAAGACATAGTCTCGGGCCTTCCTGGCAGTGCAAGGGGTTAAGACACAGCCTATGAAGCTATCCACAGCCTCTGCAGCATGAGTTCCATCCCTGGCCAGGGAGCTACCCACATGGCACAGCAGACCTCTCCTTTCTTGCCTGCTGCTCCCCTCAACAGTGTATTTCTGTCGATCTGCCTATTCTGCTCCCCACTCTGTCTTTAGTGACTCCTCTCAGCCCCCACGCCTCTGGCCTATACTCCAGTTCTTGTATGCATAAATAAATCTAAAAAAAAAAAAGGCATAATCTCTATAATGCCAGATTTCTTCTGTTAAGTATGGAAAATCTTTTCACTCTGCTTCTATTTCTTAATAAGGCCTTTTGTAAAAGGTGGTGGTGGGTCAAGGCCCTGATCCTGATCAAGTTAACAGCATTTCATGGGAGTAGACAAGACTTTTGGGATTGTTGGAATAATATTTGGCAATTTTAAATGTCATGAATGAAAATATTGAATAATAACTATATTCTTCACCAAGGCTTCAGAATAAGATATTTTGTCAAGTGTAACACTTTCTCCATCTGAGTGCCCAGGAACAAAATGTCCTATGTACTTGAAATATTTCTTGGTAAAAAAGTTTTTCAAAACTTTGGATGATTTCTGCAATTTCCAAGAGAAGCTCAAGATTTCAAGTTCTTTGATATGTCAGTTTGCTTGAACACTCTTCATCCAGAGATTCACATGGCTATTTTCGTCTTTGATGATTTAGGTCTTGGCTTAAATGTCACCTCCTCAAAAAGACCTTTTCTAACTACCCAGTCGATGCTTATCACTCCCTTCACAAGTACTTTTCCTGACTTTTATCACCTGATAATTTCTTATTTATTGGCTGGTTAACTGTCTCTTCATTCCTAGTCAGGACCTGATTTATTAGTTGTATTCTTTGTACCTAAAACATTCATTGGAATACAGTCCTCATTATACAGTTGAAGGTAAATGAGTTTTGTGAAAACCAGAAATTGGACTGAGTTGTTAAATAGTTTTATTTGGAAATGAAATAACATAGTTACCAATTCCTTGTAATTAGCTTCAAGATACTAAAGCAATTACAATTCTGGGGCCTGTTTACATCAGGTGAGATAGACATTTAGTTTTCCTTCTCTGCACCAAGTCCTGAAGCTTCAAGCTAACGAAAGACTTTAGGAGATTGAAATATTCCCAAGTCCCCATGTCAGACATAGCAATGACAGTTCTTGGGCAGTAGGAAGTGTGAGTTGTGGGAAAAGGTCAAGGAATTTATTGCTTCTCAGAAAATAGTCTACAGATACTTGATACTTGAGTTAAAATATTTACATGCTTAAGATTATGGAGAGCCAGCTGTAAAAACTCAATAAATGTTGGCTACTATAATTTATGAAGTTTTAGATTATTTAGTGCATACTTTTCTCCACTCCCTAAATTACCCACTTAATACATGCCATTGACCAAGAATAGACCTTTGGATTGAAACTCAACTTATCACTCTGAAGGTCTACAGTAGGCTTAATCATTAAGTTCAATTGACTACCTCAAAACAGAAATAGTTCTAAGAGCTGCCACATCTTCCTGTATTTGTTCTTTAATATTTATACTATATTACACCATCAAGGAAAATGTCATTAAAATAATTAAGCAGTTGAGTGAAAAATGTAACCAGATACTCATATTGAACAACATTTACCTTAAGTAAAGACAATACGTATTTCATTTGTTCAAAGATTGCAGGCTTTTTTCCCCAACCAAGGAATAAATTGTCCTAAATGTTGTTCTCTCGTTTAAGTGTAAATTTTATCCTTACCCAAATAATTCAAATTCCTAAGGATAGACACTTGTATTTTAAACCTCTAAAGACTCTTTCCAGACACTAGAGTTTCCTGGTGGAATTGCTTTGCTTAAAGAAAAATGTTTTTATTCTCCCACTTGATCAAACTAGAGTCTTCAAAACATTCTAATTGTCTAGTTCAGAAGAAGAAATTGAATCCATAGTTTCAATTTGGAATTGTTGATATTTTATGCTACTTTCTTAAGCAACACAAAATGTGTCACACATGTGCATTTCATTTTCCATGATGTGTAGTAAAGGTATTGAACAAGGGTTGGTTTTTCTGGAAATATTATGTATTATAATTTTAAAGATTGTAAGGGAATATTATCACACTGGTTTTATGAGAAAAAAAATGCTTCTATTAACTGTGCTCTGGTTTATGGATTTTCTTTTCTTTTTTAAAAAGATTTATTTATTTATGCATACAAGAGCTGGGTACAGGCCAGAGATGCATGGGCGGGGGGTGAGAGGATTCACCAGAGACAGAGTGGGGAACAGAACAGGCAGACTGATGAAATATACTGCTGAGGGGAGCAGTGGGTGAGACAGGAGAGGTCTGCTTTGCCATGTGGTTTCTCCCTGGCCTGCCGGGGATCGAACTCATGCTGCAGAGTCTGCGGATTGCTTCATACTCCCTGTTCTTCCTGTGCTGGAGGCTGGCAGTGTGAGCCCAAAGTAGCAGTTCTTAATAACTAACCAAGAGACCTGAGTTCTAGTCCTCACTCAGTTACCAAGTAAGTATTAAACTGAAACAAGTTATTCTTTATGTAGAAAATACTCTTTATAAAGAGGTTGGGTTAAGAAATAGCTAATGTCACTTTTATCAGTCCATAGTTCTAAAAAAAATAGTTATATAATATTAATATAAATAAGCACTTAATCTTTCTGGGCCTGACATTTTTTTAAATTAAAATGGAGAATTAAAAATACTAATTCTATTTTTGCTATATTTTGTGGATAATTCAGGTATTTCAAAGGATAGATTCTTGAAATGGGGAATGTTAAGTATTAAAACTGATTTTGACAAAGGAGCAGAGAGCTTGGACTTAAAATCTTCAGCCAACATTCAAATGGCAAAGAAACCAGTCAGAAAACATACGTTGGGTATCTTCTATGCCTCTGGAATTGTGCTAGGGAATTGTGGAATTGTGGGATTGTGGAAGTGTTTCTCCAATCCTCGGAGAAACTAGAAAGTGGAAATATTTGAAGGCAATATTTGAAGAAATAATGACTAAGAATTTTCTTGCATTGTAGAATGACTGAGTTTCAAATCAGGGAAATAAATACAAATGGCATCATGCTAAAATTGTAGACTTCAGATAAAAAGTATTAAAAGACCTCTATAGAGAAGATTCCCTAAAAGAGGGAATAGACAAAGGAAAAAACCTCCCAAGCAATAACAAATTCTAGAAAACAGTGGCATAATAATGTCGCCTGGAATGCCATACCTTACGAAATTGACAATCAAGAGTGAGGACAAAATAAAAGGATTTTAGATAAACACCAGTGAATCAATCACATTCACTATTTTTTTACTTTATTTTAAGTATCTTTAGCAGGAACTTAGTAACTTACTTTTCCCACAGGTAGTGCTCTGATTTTGTTTGATTTTATGTGTGCATACACATGTGTAAGCATGCCTTTGCGGGCTTTTATATGTACTCACGTCTGTTCCATAGTTGCTGAATCATCAGGGTGGGGGAGGGATTTGGAGGGATGCAGATATTGGTGTGGATGAGTTGGGGTGAGGCTGGTTTGTGTTTGTGCCCACCACCCCCATATCCCTCCTCTCTGGGGTTTGGGATGAGAGACTGAACATCTCTGTGCTCTCCGTGGCCTTACCGGTAAGCACAAGTCCCAGGGGGCCTGAAGTAGATCAGAATGCTCGCCCTGCTGTTATCTATCAGGTGGACCCAGCCTGTGTGGAGCACCCCAGCAACTCAGCAAGGTTTTCCCCTCTTTCTAGGGAGTGGGCCAACAGACAACCTCCCCAGGGCCTTTGGCTGAGCTGACAGCCCTGCCACCTCTGTTCCCCGCTCCAGAACACTCTGCCAGGATCCTTTCTCTACTTACCTCCTCAATGTAACTGACTGTCTTTGGTGTCACCCCTGTTAAATCTGTGCTTGCCTTTTACTGCCCTGGGGATAATCCTGCTCCAATCCATGGGACTATCTCTCTGAATAGTGTCCCTCTGGCTTGTTGCCATAAGAGCTGTGGCCAGTTGGGACCTGGCCCTCCAGTTATCGCTCCAGGACCTATCACATATGTGGCCCTTGACAGGGTCTGCTCTACTGCTTGCCTATGGAGGCTGCCAGGTCCTGCCCTGGAACTCTTTAGAATCTGTGGGAGCTACTGTGATAGGGTTACTTCCAGGTCCCAGGGCTCGCTGGGGCCTGCCGGGGCCTCCTATGTCAGGCCTGCTTGCCACTTCTGCTCTGCTGCACAGAGCCCGCTGGATGGCCAGGGCGCACCTTGCCCACAGTGGCTACAGGCTCCGTCAATTCCGCAGTTTATGGGACACTCTCCACCTGATGTTGCTCCTAGTGTCTGCTGTAATCCTCTGCTTTTCCTTCAGGAGGTACTGGCTCTGCTCTGCTGCAGTCTAGCTGTGGGTATATGGAGGAGGTGAACCCAGAGTCTTCACTCTGCCACCATCTTGCTGCTCTCTCTCTTCTTTAGTTTTACAGGAGAATTCCTTGGATACAGAATTCATGGGGGTGGTTTTCTTTCCTTTTAATACCTAAATATTTCACTCTATTCTCTTTTTGCTTGCATGGCCTGAGGGGAACTCCAAGGTAATTCTTATACTTTCTCTCAAGATGAAATTTTAACCCCATTCTGGCTTCTTTTGAAAATTGCTCTTTGTCTTTGATTTTCTGCAACTTGAATGGGATGTGCTTAAATATAACTTTTTTTGACATTTATTCTGGTTGGTACTCTCTGAGATTCCTGGATATGTGTTTGACTGTATGTCATTTATTTTGAAATATTCTCAAATATTAAACTTCCAATATTTTTTCTGTTCCATGTACTCTTTTTTTTTCCCCTTCTAGTATTCCTACTGTGTATGTGTTATGCCTTTTGTCGCACAATTCTTGGATATTCTGTTATATTTCTCATTACTTATTTTTTCTTTTTAGTTTGGGACATTCCTACTAATGTTTCTTCAAGCTCACTGATTCTTCTCTTGACCTTGTCCAGTCTACTCATGAACTCATCTTAAAATATGATTCAAATACCATATCTCTGGAAAGTTTTCCCTAAATAAGTTATCTCTCTCCTAAACATCTCTCTTCTGTATTTTTAGAGCACTTAAAAGTCTGCATGTTGACTTGTCATTCAATCTGTCTGTCTACCTGCCTGCCTGCCTGCCTGCCTGCCTACCTACCTACCTACTTACCTACTTACCTATCTATCTATTGTCTATGTTATCTCATGTTCTCTTCAGCAGACTCCATTCCTTGGTCAAGGTGTTATGTCTTTCCATTGTTCTTATTTTTGATATTCATGACATCTAGTAAGGATTGTATATACTGTGTAGATTGTATACATGTATATTTTTGTTGGGATGATATTGCAAAGAACATATCTCAGTAAATTACTCAAAGTAATGATTTTACATAGAAATTAAAGGCCACAAACCCAAAAGGAGAAATTAGCCATTCATTTTGTATGCTATTCTGTTATTTCTTTCTTTCTTTTTTCTTTTTAGAAACCATTTGCTCTATATCAGACATCACTGCATTTTTCTGCCAGAATGGTGGTACGTGGATGAATGGAAGATGCATTTGTCCAGAAGAATGGAAAGGACTGAGATGCACAATCAGTAGGTTACTTGTGATAATACTAGTGTATGAAAGTTAGGTGATTTTTGTCAATGAAGACAGCAGCAGAGCTTCTTCAAGCTCCTGTTATGATTATAACAACAATGGCCATAATGATGATGGATTTAAGATGTGTTTATTAGCTCAATAGTAAAAACCGAGTTTTCTTAGGTTTTTCTCAGGCTATTTAATTGAATGTTCAATACATTGTATGTTTTGTTCCTCAGTAAGCTCACAGTTGCTTTTTCTTCTGGCCACAGTGTATTTGCATTAGAATACAGGGCAATGAGAGATATGTTTTCTCAGATCCTTTCATTGATGATATTCCATAATACCCCATTTCAAATGTCACAATTTTATCATATTTAAATTTTTTGAAATCAAATATATCTTCCTATCCAAGTGTATACTGAATTTTTTTGTCTTTTCTTCCTTTCTCTTGAAGAAATATTATTATATTAGTGATTTGAATCTAATCAATGTTCAAAGTGATATGATTCAATGTAATGAGTTAATATGAATTTAATCAAAATTTGAAGCCACTTCTTGATCTGCCAGGTGCTCCCCAATATTCTGCACACATCACATTACTTGCTCAGGCTCCAGGGCCCTAGAAGTCCACTCCTGTCATTTCCCACAGCCCCTCCAGGCAATACATCTTATATATATCCCTCAAATTTGGCCTTTTTTGCTTTGACCCACATTGTCATGATGACCTTTATATTATGGAAATTAAATATCTTTAATTCTTAAGATTTTAACTAATCTTATGTTCTTCTCTCGCTGATATGTTAATGAACACATCCAGTCTCTACATTTCTACCATGTTATAAATTGTGCACATTTTACCTGGAACATGTTATCTAACCTGTTATTTACTCTAATAGTAAAGACTTAACCAGATAAGAAAGTATGAAGTTTGGGGTGTGTGTGTGTATGTAGGTGGGTGGGTAGGGGTGGGGCACAGTGAGTCCTATAAGTCTTCTAGTACCCTTCAAGTTACACTGGATAGATGTTTTTTTAAATACTTCTGAATTTTTAATTCAACATTTCTTTAAATTGAGTTACCATTTGTTTACACCCTTGTTAGTGTCTTGAAAAGTATAAGATTTTGAACATTGACTTTTACCTGGTTTGAAAATTTCAAAAGCAACATATAATTTATGTTGAAATATCTATTTTTTCTTTCCATTATAGACAATCACTGTGAAAAAAGCAATTCTGAAAACTTTACTTTTGAAAAAATACCAGTGGGAAGATATGGACATTCCGTGCAAACATGTGGCCCTGACACCCCAAATGGTATGTTTTTCCAAACATCTCACTTTAAGCACATGAACCACTGTGCTAGGTCATACCAATCATCCTTCCAATTATTATTAGACCCTGGAAGAGATGTCAAAAAAGATTTGTGTTTGATTCCCTTTCATGATGCCAGTGTTGAAAGATCGGGGTGCTACCTTACATAATTCTAATTAAAAAAATATGAAAACACTATAATAGGGATCAGTTATACATTCCTTTTAATTTTCTGTCCTCCTCTAAGTTTTCTGTATCCTCCAGAGTTCAAGGAGTTCAATGAGGTTAACATCTATTCCTTGAGTTTTATAATTTGTTTCCATTTTAAGGATTAGCTAGACTACAGCTTTCAGACTTCATCTTCTGGGCAGAGATGCAGTTTAGCCTGCCCACAGTTGGTGCTCTTTCCATTGGCCATCTTAGATGTTCATCTTAGAACATTCTCTAGCTTCATGATATCTTTCCTGAAGCATTATTAATCTTGTTTACATAGAGGCATTCCAAAAATACAGGCAGGAAATAGGGAAATGTTTTCTATTTCTAACATGCTCCCTGATGACATCCAGGATTTTGATGACCTATTTGATTTCAATGTCATTTAGGTAATATCCTCTGAAATTAGCTCTTGGAAATTCATAAATTCCTTTTCTGAGAGCTTTGAGTTCATTATCCCATATGACTTTCTCTAAATGTTTTACTTGTCCTTTGTTTGCATTAACTTTGACCTGATAATCTTCTCATCACTCACCTCTCCTGGGTTATCATCCATTTCCTGCATACCTAATATCTTAATAATAGTCACTTCTAGATCATTTATGAAAGTGTTTGGTAGGACTCTGTCAGTAATGGTTATGGAGAAAATTTCATATTTATTTAAATATGTATAAAAGTGTCTCTTTGAAACACTGAATAAATTACATGCACTGCTCTCTTTATGTGCCTTTTTTGCTTTAAGAGATTATGTACATAGGCATTCCATTTTCAAAATCCACATTACTTCTGACCACATATATCATGCTTACTCAACTATTTATGATCTTATGTTTATATGTTTCACATGTCTTAAATATTTCATTATAATTTATGAAACAGATATAGTTGTTTGTATGTGTACTACTGAATTGGGAAAAGTAAAAATGTCAGTACTGTACCAATCGAGGAAAGGCACATTCGTTTGATGTATAATTCTTTTTGGGGACAAAAGAATCACCATTTTTCATTTGGTTATTTTTCTTTTCTGAGCAACTATTATGAAAATATTTATTGTACTTATTTTTGAATTTCAGATTGAGTTTATAAAATAATTTTAAAGATGGATTCCAACTATTCACAAATTTGCTTTTAGTTTCATATTAAGAACTATTTCTAATTCTATTTTATATTACAAATGATCAAAATATTTTCCAATGATTTTGAATAGATAGATTTTTACTTGTAGGTAACATACAGGAAAAGACACATTTGAAATGTGACCACTAAAAAAGAAAGTCCTACTGATATGTTTGAAGTCTTCATTATGTCATAGAGATGTAGTCATCCTTCAAGTCACTTTAAACATCTACTTTGTGTTGGTAGAAGTAATCTCTATTTTCAGTGTTTCTAGTTGTTCCCCAAGAAGTAGCTGGCCAAAGCTCTTTCAGAGGAAAGCTGACTTTGGATCAGGAGGTAGCAGGAGGCGATTTGATCTATTAGCAGCCTCCTAAGTATTAGCCATAGGAAGACAGTGAGGTAGGGAGACCTGGGTGATGATCTTAGGTAAAAAGCCCAATGATTCAACAAGCATTTATTGAGATACAAATATTGAATAGGGTTGTATTAATTACCCAGATTTGGATAAAGAGGGAAAGAGCAATATATTCTATAGCTAATAAAATTTTTTTCATATTGTTTCTCATCACTTAACCTTGTATTCCCTCATCACATTCAGTTCACAACTCTAATGTCCCTAGTTGTTGGAAGGCAGATCTTCCTTGTATACTTCAAAGGAAAGAAAAAGTTGCCTGGTTGTTTGAATTCTACCTTGAAAAATTCTACCTTGAAAAATTCTACCTTGAATTCTACCTTTGAATTCTACCACACGTAGGGCGGTGTGGTAACAATATCTGAAGGGAAGTTCCTATAGTTCTAATACACAAACAATGATGTAAACCAATATTACTGCAAAAGAAAAAAAAAGATAAATAGCAAAATGAATAAACAAGTAAAAATCAAGACAAGTGTATCTGCCTAAAATATTTTTTGAAAAAAAATTGATTGCGATAACATTGGTTTATATAACAGGGTATGTGATTCAGAGGCATAGGGTCACACCTCCTCAGATGCATGTCACCACGCCACACCCACCAGTCCTGTAGTAACTGATCCATTTTTTCATTGCTGTCTATCAAACCACCCCAAACATACCAAACATAAAGTCTTAAAAAACAATGATTTAGATTTCTCACAGGTTTGTGTGTTGACTCTGGTAACTACAATTGGCTGGAAGGTCCTGGATGATCTCACACACCTGGGCATTTGTGTTGACTGTTGGCTAAAGGGCCTGCGTTCTCCTCCACAGCCTCTCATCCTCCAGGTGCTTCCTTCTCTGACAGTGTTCCAGGAGGCAAAAGCCAAAACTTCAAGGCTTCTTGAGACCTAGGTTCTGGAACTCATACAACATCATTTCTATCGCATTTTGATAGCCAATTCAAGATACAAGGGGCACCCCAAATTCTAGAAATGGAGGAACATACTCCACCTCTTGATGAGAGGACAGCAAGAAGATACTGTGAAGGGCAAGTAGAGAGGAAGAGGTGTTGCTGTCTCTGCAAACACTGTCTCTCTTTTTTCTCTTTATTAAAGCGGGCAAACCGATGGCAACCCGATTGTGCAGTTTTACTGCAAATGGAAGCATAACACTGAATGATGTGATAACAGGAAATTGTAGTGAAACTCTGCAATACCTGGAAGCAAAGGTATGCTACAGGCCCGCATGATGGGCAAATGGAAAAGGTTCCGATTGTGTGAAGTTTTTTCTTCTTCATATATCTGAGGGTCAATTCAATGCTTTTTACATCTTCTAAATTAGAAAAACAAAAACTAATAATTGAAACCATACATTTTTTTTTAAGTTGACATGTTTGTGAAAAGAGACAGTGGACATGTTTGGCAAATTTCAGCAAATGATAATCTATTGCACATGTTAAATGGCCTTATCTTTTTAGATCAGTGAAATTTAGATTTGAAATAGAGCCCTGAAATTTGAGAGCAAAAGAAGGGGATATTGAAGGTCTGCTGCATCAGAATATAAAGAAAAAACTATGACCAAAAATCTTTTGCGACAAGAAACTCTAGAACCTGATGCTGGTCTATGCTGTATCCATGAGCAGCTGAAATAGGAAGTATATCTGACCTGACAGTTTTTCATGCAGATGAAATTATTATGACTATGTATAGACCTTAGTGAAAAATCATAGAATTGTTAATACCTAGGCCCACCCAGGGTGAAAAAGAGGGAAATTATGTGGTCGTTCTAGGTGCTGAGCATGTTACATACATTTCTTCATTTGGATCTCTCTGTGAGTCAGATGTTATTCCTATAATATGGATAAGAAAAGCTAATGGCATTTATTAATTATTTAGTACCTACTGCAAGCCAAATACTGTGCAGAGCGCTTTATACGTATAAACTTCTATTTGATTCTTGTAACAACTGTATAGTTAGTTATTAATGTTTCAATTTTATAGATGAGTAAACAGTGTCTCTGAGAGTCTCTGAACCATAGCCAACAGGTAGTGAAGCTGCTCTTGATTTTTAAAGTCCACACTGTACCGCATTGGCTCCTTTAGTCACAGATAGGTAGGAGGTGGAAGAAGGGTAGGAAAGGGAGCTGAGTATGGAGATTGCTGCCAACCCTGTGGTTGTGCCAGCTGCAGATTGGGGAACAACTCCCCATTCTGGAGCTTGACAAGCCAATTTTAGCTTCTGCTCTATCACTTCTAAGCTATATGAAATTTGGGGTGCTCTTCAACCTCTCAAAGCCTTTAAATAGGGTTGAGGCTGCTAAACCTCAGTGTTGTTTTGCATATTCAATGTGATAACACCTGTGCAACCGTTAGCATAGTGCCTACCACATAGCAAGGACCCAGCCGTTGAATAAAAGCATTATTTGTCACTACCTAGAGTTTTGTTTCCAACTCTTTCCCCAAGTGCGACTAGTCTGTGACTATGGTTTCATTTTTTGGAATGATGCTGCCATCTAGTGAAAACTAAGACACACACACACACACACACACACACACACACACCCATTTCACTAAAGACTATGTGGATTAATACTTTTTTGCCTCACAATTTAGAGTCCAGCCTCTATTGGTATCTGGAAAAGTTGTCTAGGTCAGTGCTTCTCAAACTATCTGTGCTAAAAAGCCAATTTTTAAAAATTTACAACCCATTGCAGATCAATAAAACAATAAAATGAATTACAAGGAAAATAAAGTGGAAAAAGATGTATAAAATACGAATCTTTTTAAAAAGTTATTAGATTCAACAACACACAATTGTTACATAAGATTCTGAGCACTTACTCCTAATTTATGTGTTTATCTTCCTTTAGCAAACAGTGAGCCGACCTTGGTCCATGCAGCACACCTTGAGTGGCACTGGTCTAGCTATGAACCTGGCAGGGTTAGTTAACATTGTCAGGCAGTGAAGTCTAGGAAAACCACCAGCCCTCATGTATTTTGTCCTTTTTATGCAATGAAAGAAGCAAACGTGAAAAACCAAGTGAATGTGATGTCAAAAAGACTGAGTGAGCTAAATAGCAGCTTATCTACCTGCATTGTTTGCCAAGAATTAGACATAGTTGTATAAAGTTAGTTGTGTTTTTTTTTTTTTTAAACAGCTACAGGATTTCACAGGTAATCCTGATAATTTTTCCATCGAAGCCCAGATTTTGACATCTAATGCCAGTATATTAACTTCAGGGGACATCAGTTCTGCTGCTAATGTGGTCACACAGATCCTCAATACTTCCCGAGCTTTACCTGAGGTAAAACTTATGAGGTTTGATAAAAGGGGAGGAGAAGAAAAAATGAAAAATACCCCAAACTTCTTTATTCATTCTCGGTGTAGAGTGGAGTCTGGGAAAGACCTTGCTGGGAGGTCAAAGTCAGAGACACAGGTCTCCAAATTGACCAAGTCTCTATTTTTTACTGTGCCTTACCTTTATTTTCTTTGCCATTATATATATATATATATATATATATATATATATATATATATATATAAACTAAGTAATTTTAAAAAATACTTGCCTCTAGATTACCGTATCAGTGTCACTGCTTGATATCATAATAATTTATAATGATATTTATCTTCCATGATCACCTGTGCTTTCTTCTTCACAGGCAAAAAAAACTGCTGTAACAACAGTAAGTCAACTTCTAGATGCCAGTGAAGTTGTTTTTCAAGATACAAAAAATAACTTTTCTGGGTAAGCACAATTCCAATTTGGGAAGAAAATCTGACAAAGTGCCATTTACTTTCCCAGGTCAAAGCATTAACAATGGTTTTTTCATCTAATGAATGCACTAACTGGTTGATTCCTCTGGAAACCAGACTGAAGCCTTGGTTTTCCATTTGATCGCAGTTTTTATAGGCAGTGGTAATTCCTGCTTTCAGGCCATGTCCTGGGAGAAAGAGAGTAACTGGGATGATTTAGATTAGAACTTGTTTTCCTAGCCTTAGTTTGGAGTAGCCAATGGACACTCACATGCATAGTTGGAGCAATTCCCACTCCAATGTACAGAACCATAAATAACAGCTTAACTTTGCAGGAAAGGTTTTCAATCCATCACCCACAACTCGGCTCTCCCCAAGATCCTGGTGTAATTTAATTAAACTTTCTTTAGCTTTCCCAAGGCTACAATGAGTCTCTCTTGTTGACTCCTATGTTCTGGATTACTTTGATTATATATTTGTACTAAAACTCATGATTTTATACCGGATGGTCTCACTCATAGCAGGAATCTAGAAAACTTAAATAAGGGACCAGGAAAATGAATAACTATGAGAAAGTAAAAATCAAAATCAACAAAAAACTATGAACCAGAGACACTTTAGGGGAGTGGGGGGCGGGGAGAGGAGGGATTGGGGTCAAAATAAGGGGATTGTAATTGTATGAGGAATATAAAAATAAAATTTATTTAAAAAATAAATAAAACTCATGATTTTAATACATAGAGAATCTTTCACTCGGATTCACTGTGCTTTTATCTTACATGGATTTGTCTTTTTTAGGTTTTATGGAATTTATATATTTTATACAATTATGTTAACTCTTCAAATTTAATAAATATGCATTCTCATTATAGAAAAAAATACTTAGTTGAGGAAAAACTTAAGTCATCCGACCTTATTAACCTATTCGTATATATTCTTCCACATTTTTGTTTATATGTGTATGTGATATATATAATATACTCTACTGATTTTTAACATGTTTTGTCAATTACTCTTGATCTTAGCCAAAAGGCTGAGAAGCGATGTGTTTTGTCAATTAATAAAACATTTAAACTTTTTTTAATATAAATACCTATTATATCTGCATCATAAAATTTAGATGCCACATAATACAAATATTTTTATTTAAGCAACTCTCCTGTTGAACATTTAGATTGCTTCAAGTCTTTTAACATTTTGAGCTGTCAAACATCTCTCTGTTTTCATGATCCATTATGTCTTTAGCATAAATTCCTAGAAGTAGTTCTAAATTTTCTTATCACAGGAGTATCTATTTAGCATTGAGCCCTCAAGGTAGAAAAGAACAAAAGCATGAAATAGAATATTCAAAAGATTGTGATTCTTGAGGTGGTGGTACAGATTGTGTAAACAATTTAACTGGAGTATTTTATGACTTAAAATTTCAGAAGGAGACTGGGCCCTTTTCAAAGCAGTACGGATACTCACTCCCTTATATCTTCTTTTTTTTTTAACGTTCAATTTGTTTTAATTCTATTCTACAGATTTTCTTTTCTCTTTATTGCGGTAAGATTGGTTTACAACATGGTAAATGATTTAGGGGAACGGATTCACAGCTCTCAGATATGTGTTACTATTCCCTTCCACACCCAGCATCAGAGCACCCAGAGTGCTTTACCATAGACCGGTGTGCTCCCCCCCTTCTTTGTTTAACTCATAAGAGATGTTTTGGACCCTGGGGGTTTGGGTGAGAGAAGGGAGCTGGATAAGTGGAACTTGATGTTTCCTTCTGGAGGGACATGGAGCACACAGCCCGTAAATGGTGGTAAGAGCAGCATCCTTTACATGAAGAGCAGCACAACAAAGAGTTTTTTGTTTTTTGTTTTTTTATACCAGCACTGGGTACAGGCAGAAGCGCGGGAGGGTGAGAGAATTCACCAGAGCCAGAGCGGGGAACAGAACAGGCAGAAGGACCGAAGTACACTGCTGAGGGGAGCAGCGGGTGCGGCAGGAGAGGTCTGCGCGCCATGTGGGACCCTCGCAGGCAGTCAGGGATCAAACTGGCGCTGCAGAGCCTGCGGGAAGCTTTGTAGCCCAGCGCTCAACTGCTGTGCCACCAGAGAAGGCCCCAACAAAGAGTATTTCTATAGAAAGATCTGCCATTCTTGAGTTCTAGCTTTCTGGCACCCATGACTCTTCACTGGAGACTGTGCCCCAGAAACCTAAAAAAAAAAGGTATATATAACAAAATAAGAAAAATTATTTTGGGGCTTACCCTGTGGCGCAGCGGTTGAGCGCTGGGTTGCGAAGCTGCCTGCAGCCTCTGCAGTGCCGGTTCGATTCCCGGCTGCTCCCCGGCCACCGGAGGAGGGTCCCACATGGCGCGCAGACTCTCCTGCAGCCCGCTGCTCCCCTCAGCAGTGTACTTCGGTCCTTCTGCCTGCTCTGCTCCCCGCTCTGGCTCTGGTGAATTCTCTCACCCTCCCGCGCTTCTGTTTGTACCTAGTGTGCTTGTATAAATAAATAAATAAATCTTTAAAAAAGAAAAAGAAAATTATTTTGGGTGATTTGACACTTGTCATGATTGCATGATTCTATAGTCATGCCTTTTTTTTGCTGGAATGCAGAAGAAAACACTTCTCTGATTTTATGATTAACCTCAAGAATATTACGTTGATTTGTTTTATTCTGTTCAGCCTTATTGACCAAATGGAGACGTATTCCTTGTCTTTGGGCAGCGAGTCAGTGGTGGAACCTAATGTAGCTGTACAGTCCGTTGATTTCCTTGAAGGCACAGCAGAGCCTACCAAAAACGTTCGCTTCTCTGTAATGAAAGGTGAGATGTTCATCTCTGCTTGTAATAGCAGAGAGTATTCCATTCCCAACCGTAAATAATGCTCTATTCATAAAAAATAGACTTTTCCAATTCTATTCTCTTCTTCTTCACAGGATCTAGTAAGTTTCTTGATTCTAGCTCCACACGTGTAGACAGAAATGTGGATGACCTTGATATGAATGAACGGACTGAACTTCAGATCTTGCTCAGTACTTCCAATGGTAGGTGTTAAACTTTGTTCCTTTAGAAAATGCACTCAACTTCACTGAATTAATAACATCCACTGAGTCAGAAATCATATTGATATACTTAGTGTCACACTGAATAATTAGTTTGAGCTCTGACAGATTATGATAATCTCTACTATACCATGTCATGGTGATGATTTTAGTTTTTTCCTCAAAAATCCCTTGCAGATGGCAGGATTCACAAAATATGTGGCCAAAGCAAATGGGAACACAACTCCACAGAGTGCAGATCCAGAAACAATACTGACTTTATTTTTCTCTTTCAGAACTATTATGAATTGAGTTTTCATAAAATAAATATTTTCTGGTATTGGATGTTTTCATTTGAGAAAAAGACTAGAAGTAGATGTGTATGTTTGGTTTGCTTGTTATTATTGTCAATACATTAACACTTAAAAACTGACCACTTACTAGTCCACAAGGAAAGGTTATGCATTTTATAAAATAAAAGTTATACAGGGCATAATTCCTGACCATAATGCAATAAAATTTGAAATATGCCACAAAGAAAAACCAAACTTTTATCTAGTATCACTCCATTTGTTTACTTTTTTTTTGTTTCCTTGTTGCTGGAGATGTATTCATAAAGACATCAGTAAGGCCAGTATTGAAGAACTCAATACTGAGTTTCCTCCTGTGTATTTTGTGGTTTCAGGACTTATTTCAAGTCTTTAGTCCATTTTGAGTTAATTTTTGTTTATGGTTTTAATGATCTAGTTTCATTCTTTTGTATGTGTCCAGCTTTCCCAAAACCATTTATCAAAGACACTTCCCTTGCTCCACTGGATTCTTTTAGCTCCTTTGTCATATAGTAATTTCCATATATGTGTGGGTTTATTTCTGGGCTCTAAATTCTGTTCCATTGATAATGCGAATATACTTTTATTCCAATATCAGGCTGTTTTGATGATCACTTTGTATGTAGCATAGCTTGAAGTTAGGGAGAATGATACCACTACTTTTATTCTTTATTCTCAAGGTTGTTTTAGCTACTTGGGGTCTTTTGTAGTTCCAAGTAATTTTTTTTTTGTTTTACTTCTGTGAAGAATGTCACTGGAATTTTGATAGGGTTATCAGTGTGTCATTATTCATTTAGGTAAAATGACCATTTAAATAATGTTAATTCTTCCAGTCTGTGAGCATGTAATATTCTTTTATTTTTTTGTATCTTCTTCAATTGGGCGTTGCATTAAGTTTATATATAATTTTAGGCAGGATGGAACTTTTGCTTTTATTGATTATATCCATACAGGAGCATGAAATATCCTTTTGTCTTCTCATGTTGCAATCCAAGTCCTCTTGCATTTCTCATTTATAGGTGCTTTACTTTCGAGAGGTAACTTTCAAGATATTTAATTTTTTTGAAGCAATTAGAAAATAGAGTTAGGGGCCTCCCCTGGTGGCGCAGCGGTTGAGCACTGGGTTGCGAAGCTGCCCGCAGCCTCTGCAGCGCCAGTTCGATCCCCAGCCACAGGCGAGGGTCCCACATGGCGCGCAGTCCTCTCCTGCCGCCAGCTGCTCCCCTCAGCAGTGTGCTTTGGTCCTTCTGCCTGTTCTGTTCCCCGCTCTGGCTCTGGTGAATTCCCTCACCCTCCCACACTTCTGACTGTACCCAGTGCTTGTATAAATAAATAATAAATCTTAAAAAAAAAAAAAGAAAATAGAGTTAGTTTCTTAATTTCCTTTGAAACTTATTGATCTGGGTCAGCTACCTGGGCATAGTGTCTACTCTAGGTTATCTTTCAATCCTAGATGCAATACTGGGCACAGAAGTAGTTAGTAAGGGGGTCACAGATTGGGAGATGTTTTCTTTTACAGCCTTCTCCTGGTAGATCAGTTTCTGTATTAACAGGTGCTTGAAGCTTAGTTTATGCAAGTGTTCATTTGTTGTTTTTGTATTAGCCCTGGGATGGGAGGTGGTAGATATTTTGAATATCCCAATCTTGTTTTAAAATAGAGGCCACCTCTATGAGGAGATCATGGCGATCTGACCTGTTTCTTCTCACCAGTTCAGGCTCCAGCTCTTCTATACTGAGAACTTCAGGCTCAAGCCAGCAGTCCCTGCTCTCTACCCCCAATCCCCCAAGTTCTCTGACAATGCGCTCTGTCCTGGGGATCCATATCCAGTGTAGCGCCAGGTCTCAAAAGTTCCAATATTGGTGTGTACCCTGAGCCAACAACTGAAAAGGCTTGCACAGCTGCCACCCCTCCCTATGGTTGATTGTATTCCCTGGCATTACCATAAACAGTGCATTTAAAATTGCTCCTGCTGTTTACTGTGGTCATCCATTTGTCTGGCTCTGTTTTATTGTAATCTAGTTGTAAATATATGCAGATGGCAAGTCAGGAATTGTCACTGTGCTGCCATCTTGCTGGATTCCTCAGTTTCTCCTTTTTTTAATTATAAATTTTATTTTTATATTCCCCATACAATTGCAACCCCCTTATTTTGACCCCAATCCCTCCCCTCCCCACCCCCAACCCCCATAGAGTGTCTCTGGTTCATAGTTGTTTGTTGATTTTGATTTTTACTTTCTTATAGTTATTCTTTTTCCTGGTCCCTTATTTAAGTTTTCTAGATTCCTGCTATGAGTGAGACCATCCGGTATTTTTCTTTTTCTTTCTGGCTTATTTTGCTGAACATGAGCCCTTCCAGCGCCATCCATGTTGCTGCAAATTGCATGTGCTTATATTTTTTGAGTGCTGAGTAATATTCCATGGTGAATATGTACCACATCTTCTTGATCCAGTCATCTATTTTTGGGCATTTGGGTTGTTTCCAAAGCTTAGCTATTGTAAATAGTGCTGCTATAAACATAGGGGTGCAGGTGCTCTTTGGAATTGATGTTTCTGTGTCCTTTGGGTAAATACTTAGTAGTGGAATGACTGGATCATATGGAAGCTCTATGTTTAGTGGGTCCAGAAATCTCTACACAGCTCTCCATAGTGGTTGGACCAGTTTGCACTCCCACCAGCAGTGCAGGAGAGTTCCTTTTTCTCCACATCCTCGCCAACATTTGTTGTTTTAGTTGCTTTAATATGTGCCATTCTCACTGGTGTAAGATGGTATCTCATGGTAATTTTGATTTGCATTTCCCTGCTTACAAGTGATGTTGAACATTTTTTCATATGCCTGTTGGCCATTTCCATTTCCTCTACAGAGAAGTTTCTTTTTAGCTCTTCTGCCTATTTTTTTGACTGGATTATTTTCTTTGTTTTTGTTGAGTCTCATCAGCTCTTTGTAGATTTTTGTGATCAGTCCTTTATCTTTAGTGTTGTGTGCAAAAATGTTCTCCCAGTCGGTGGGGTTTCTCTTTGTTTTGGTTATTGTCTCTTTTGCTGTGCAGAAGCTCTTTAATTTGATGTAGTCCCAGCTGTTTATCTTTGCCTTCACTATCACTGCTTTGGGTGATGTGTCTGTAAAGATGTCTTTGATGTGCATATCACGTAATGTTTCGCCTATATTTCCTTCTATGTATTTTATGGTTTCAGGTCTTATGTCTAGTTCTTTAATCCATTTTGAGTTGGGTTTTGTGAATGGTGTGAGGTAGTGGTCAAGCTTCATTCTTTTGCATGTAGCGACCCAGTTTTCCCAGCACCATTCATTGAACAAACTTTCTTTGCTCCAATGCATATTCTTTGCTCCTTTGTCAAAGATTAGTTGACCATGAATCTGTGGGTTTATTTCTTGATTTTATATTCAATTCCATTGGTCTGTGTGTCTGTTCTTGTTCCAATACCATGCAGTTTTGATGATTATGGCTTTGTAGTATAGTTTGAAGTCTGGGCGTGTGATGCCTCCATTCGCTTCTTTTTTTTTCAGGAGAGCTTTGGCTATTCGGAGTTTTTGGTGATTCCATATGAATTTCATCAATAGTTGTTCTATTTCTTTGAAGAGTGACATTGAAATTTTGATTGGAATAGCATTGAATCTGTATATTGCTTTTGGTAGGATGGCCATTTTAATAATGTTTATTCTTCCAATCCATGAGCAGGGGATGTCTTTCCATTTCTTTGTGTCTTCTTCTATTTCTTTTAACAGTGTTTTTTAGTTTTCTTTGTATAGGTCCTTTTCGTCTTTTGTTAGATTTATTCCCAAGTATTTGATTTTTTTTGTTTCGATAATAAAAGGGATGTTTTTTTGATTTCTTCTTCTTCAGATTTATTATTTGTGTATAGGAAGGCTACTGACTTTTGCGTGTTGACTTTGTATCCTGCCACTTTACTGCACTGATTGATGAGTTGAATTAGTTTTTCTGTGGAGTTTTTGGGGTTCTCTATATATATTATCATATCATCTGCAAATAGTGATAGTTTGACTTCTTCTTTTCCTATTTGGATTCCTTGTATGTCTTTCTCTTGTCATATTGCTCTGGTTAGGACTTCCAGTATTATATTGAAAAGCAGTGGTGAGAGTGGACATCTGGACTTGTTCCAGATCTTAATGAAAATGCTTTCAGCTTTTCACCATTGAGAATGCTACTGGCTGTTAGCTTGTCATATATGGCCTTTATGATGTTGAGGTATGTTCCTTGTATCCCAAGAATTTCAAGGGCTTTTATCATGAATGGGTGTTGCACTTTGTCAAAAGCTTTCTCAGCATCTATTGATATTATCATATGGTTTTTATATTTCTTTTTGTTGATGTGTTGGATAACGTTGATTGATTTTCGGATGTTGAACCATCCTTGCGTCCGTGGCATGACTCCTACTTGGTCGTGGTGAATTATCTTATGGATACATTGTTGGATTCTGATAGCTAAAATTTTATTGAGGATTTTTGCATCAGTGTTCATTAGGGAGATTGGCCTGTAGTTTTCCTTTTTTGTGTTGTCCTTGTTCGGTTTTGGTATTAGTGTAATGTTGGCTTCATAGAACGTGTTTGGTACTGTCCCTTCCTTCTCAATTTTTTGGAAGAGTTTGTGAAGAATAGGCACTAATTCGTCTCTGAATGTTTGGTAGAATTCATTTGTAAATCCATCAGGTCCTGGGCATTTGTTTTTGGGGAGGTTTTTGATTACCATTTCAATTTCGCTGCCTGTAATTGGTCTGTTTAGGTGTTCTGTTTCTTTGTTATATAGCTTTGGGTGATTGTACAGTTTGAGGAATTTGTCCATCTCCTCTAGATTGTTGAACTTGTTTCCATATCACTGTTCATAGTAGTTACTGATTATTCTTTTGATTTCTGCTGTGTCCATTGTAATTTCTCCTCTTTCATTTATGATCCTGTTTATTTGTGCTTTCTCCCTTTTTTCCTTTGAGGGCCTGGCTAGGGGTTTGTCTATTTTATTGATTTTTTTGAAGAACCAGCTCTTGGTTTCATTGATCTTTTGGATTATTTTTTTAGTTTCGATTTCATTTATTTCTGCTTTGGTTTTTATTATTTCTTTTCTTCTACTGGTTTTGGGTTTTTTTTTTTTGTTCTTTTTCTAGATCTTTGAGCTTCGAGATTAGGTTGTTTATTTGAGTTCTTTCTTGTTTCTTGATGTGAGCCTCTATTCCTATATATTTTCCTCTTATTACTGCTTTTGCTGCATCCCATACATTTAGGGAATTGGTGTCTTCCTTGTCATTCAATTCAATGAATTTTTTAATTTCTTCTTTTATCTCCTCGTTAGTCCAGTGGTCTTCCAGAAGTGTGGTTTTCAATCTCCATGAGGTAGGAGAGTTCCTTGCCTTCTTTTTATGGTTTATTTCTAGTTTGAAACCTTCATGGTCAGAAAAGATGGTTGGTATGTTTTCAATATTGGTATATCTGTTGATGTTTGTCTTGTGTCCTAGTATGTGATCGATCCTGGAGAATGATTCATGTGTGCTTGAGAAAAATGTGTACTCAGATTTTATTGAGTTTAGTGTTCTATAGATGTCTGTTAAGCCCAAGCGCTCTAGATCCTTATTCAGAGCTTTAGTGTCTTTCCTTATTTTTTGTCTTTGATCTATCCATTGTTGATAGTGGTATGTTGAAGTCTCCCACTACCTATGTGTTTTCTCTGATGTCTGTTTTCAGAGATGACAATAGTTGTCTGATATATTTTGGTACTCCTTTGTTTGGTGAATATATGTTAATGAGTGTTATTTCTTCTTGAGGTAATGTCCCCTTGATCATAATGTAGTGACCTTTGGGGTCTCTTTTTATCTTTTTGAGTTTGAAATCTGTTTTATCTGATATAAGTATCGCTGTTCCTGCTTTCTTTTTTGGTCCATTTGCTTGTAGGGTTGTTTTCCATCCTTTAACTTTGAGTCTATTTTTGTGTTTTGTAGCTGAATGTGTTTCCTGGAGACAGCAAAAGGTTGGGTTTTGTTTCTCAATCCAGCCTGTGACTCTGTGTCTTTTTATTGAAGAGTTTAGTCCATTTACATTTAGAGTTAATATTGATATGTTAGCATCTGTATTTGCCATTGTGTTTGTCTTTCCTTTGATTTTATTTATTTATTCTTTTAATAACTTTTTTTTTTGGCCTCCTTTCATTGTTATTCGTCCCTCTGAGGTTCTGGCTTTAGGACTTCTTTTAGTATTTTTTGGAGTGGGGGTTTTGTCGTAATGAAATTCCAGAATTTCTGTTTGTCTGGGAAGGTCCTTATTCTTTCTTCATAGAGGAAGGAGAGCTTTGCGGGATAGAGTATTTGGCATCTGTTTTCTTGGAGTCTTTTGACTATGTCCCTCCACTCTCTCCTTGCCCGTAGTGTTTCTTCGGAGAAGTCTGATGTCAGTCTGATTGGTTTTCCTTTGAATGTTATCTGTTTGTTCCCTCTTGTCAGCTTCCTTAGTTTTTCCTTGTCCTGGATTCTTGGGAGCTTTACTATTATGTGTCTTGCTGTATTTTTCCTTTTGTCGTGGAAGTTTGGTGTTCTTCTTGCTTCTTGTATATCAATTTTCAGCTCCTTCTTCATGTTTGGGAAGTTCTCTTCAATTATCTCCTTGAATATTTTCTCTGTTCCTACATCTCTCTCCTCTCCTTCTGGGATTCCTATAACTCTTATATTTCCCTTCCTCATAGAGTCAGATAGTTCCCGAAGTCTTTCTTCGGTCTTTTCCCTTCATACTTCTCTTTCCTTTTCTGTTTTGGTACTTCTTATTTCTGTGTCTTCAAGAGTACTTATTCATTCTTCCCTTTCATCTATTCTGCTCTCATTGCTTTTCCCAGAGTTCTTTAGCTCCTCCATTAATTCTTTGATCTCCTGCATTTCTTTTACTTCCCTCTTTAGGGACTCTATTTCATTCTTCTGATCGTTGATTATTTTTCCCTTATCATTGTTTTCCTTTATGACTTCTGTCAGTTTTTTAATCAAGGCAATTTTAAATTCTCTTTCTGGAAGGTTCAGAAGTTCTTCCAAGTTACTGTCATTGCAATCTCGGGGGTGGTTTTCTTTTTGTGGTGTGCTTTTTTCCTGAGGAGTTGCTGGGTTGTGTTTGGCTTTTCTACTCCCTACTGTCTGTTTTCTAATTTGCCATATGCATTGGGATACTGTGTTGCTGGGACTGGCCAGCATCTTGGGCGAACTTCCCAGCTCCCCTCTGGCTCCTCTGGGAGCCATCTGTGGGTTTCAAGCAGTCTTTACTGAAGAAAGGTCCCTGTTCTAAAAAGGCGATGCGGGTTCGCACTCCTCCGTGTGCCCGTTCTGCCCCGGTGGTTGGTTCCTGCTCCTGCTCTGGGCTGGGACTGCAGGCCAGAAGGGTCTGGCGTGGGGGAACTTCCCAGCTCACCTCTGGCTCCTCGGGAGGCTTCTGCCGGTTTCAAGCAGTCTTTACTTAATTAATGTCCCTGTTCTAAAGTGGCGATGCGGGGACGCACTCCTTGCGCTCCCAGTCTGCCCCGGTGGTGGGTTCCTCTAATTTCTACTTTTTTAAAGCTTTGTGTCTATCATCCAGATTTTTGTTCTGTGGCTACCATGAGACTTCTATAAAATTTTCACATCTAAGATAGACTTGTTTTTGTGGGTGTCATCTTGTATTCATTTATCTATACAGATTTTATCCTTTTAAGTATAAAACAGAATAATATGAGAAACAAACAAACAGAAACATTAAAGGGGAAGATGAAAAGGATATCCTTCCTGAGTGCATTAAGTTGTCTTCCAATGTTTTCCTGTAATTTGTTAATTTCTTCATGATAGTCATTCTGAATTCTCTGTTAGGTCATGAAATTCTGTATATTTAAGTTTGTTAATGAGGTTTTCATTCTCTTTTGTGATCCCATGTTGTGGGATTTCAGCTCTGTCGATGTGCTTCTCTGTTCTGCACATTTGGTTAGCTAATGGGTGCCTATCTTTTTATTTCCAGTAGGTGGTACTGTGGCTTTAGCTTTCAGATTCTGTTTTCTCTTCAGTAATTTGGGCCTTGAGTGGGGTGGACAGAAAGGGAGGAGGGACCTAGGTATATGTGTTCACACTGTCTACCCTCCTGCCACCTGGTCTGCAGGTAGATCTGGCAATCCCTCTCTTTCCTTTACGCCAACTTCAACACATCTGTGAACTCAGCTCCACCCACCTTCAGACACATAGACATGTGGATTTTTCTGATGTCCTGGGTTGATGAACAGAGTTTTATTTGAATTTTGAAGGTTCTATTGGCTGTAGTTTGAAGGCAAGAAATTAAGGTAGCATCTTACTCCTCTGTGATGCTGATGTCACTCTCCAGCTTCTGACAAATTTGATCAAGAGAGAAAGAGATATAAATTAAAGAAAAAAATATCAAGAAGGTCTATCTAGAAATATGGAGATTTTTCAAAATTACAAGATAATGGTAAACATAATTTCTTGTAATGAATCTGAATATTTAGATGAAATGATAATTTTATGGTAAATGATCAAAATACATTGGAATGTTTTTTGTTTTTTTTTTTTTTTTGCCCTCACAGGTAACGCTGGAGGATGTGGCTTTGTAGTGTATCAAAACAACAAGTTTTTCCAATCAAAAACTTTTAAAACTTATTCAGATTTTAGTCAAAAAATAATCTCTACTAAAACTAGAGAAAATGGAAAAAAAGAGAGTTCCTCTGTTGAAATGGCCTATAGCCAAACTAAAGAAAATAAAAATGATCCGAGTACTTCTGTTGAAATGGCCATTAACCCAGAGGTGAGTTTTCCCATTAATAGAAATAAAAGTTCATTGTGCTTTTGATTTCAAAAATAGGGATAGATTGGACCAAAGAAATCCATAGAGAAAATCCTTGAAAAATCTTTGAAAGTATTCGTTTAAACCTTCCCCATCCATATTTTGTCAGAAAATTAATTCAAATGAACTAATGTAAATTCTGTATTCCTTTCCCTCCCCAGTCCCTAATGAATATTTTATGTTTAGTACATATCTAATTGATTTCTTATCTGATTTTTTTCTAACCAATTAAGTCTTAAAATAACAGTTGCAATTGTCATCAATTCACAGTACGACTCCCAAAAATTCCAAATCCACTCCTACGCTTGCGTCTACTGGGATGCTTTAGAGAATGATTGGGACACATATGGCTGTCACAAAGACAGTGGCTCTGGCAATCTCCTGAAATGCCGCTGCAACCATACTACTAATTTTGCCATATTAATGGTAAGATCATACATAGTAATGTTTTCCCAGACAAGAATAATCCTTATTCACTATTCCAGCATGTGCTAATTGGAGATTAATTTGGGATTTAGTTTACATAGTCAGCTCAGGTTAAATGAAGAAAAAACAACCACCACCAGGAAATGGAATGATAGGATTTAAAAGAAGAGGACAACTAAAATCAAGTAGAATACAGTTTTTTGCAGTGTGGTCTCAAGGTAGATGAGTTCATCTCTGTGATTTAACAAGAAGGGAACCCAGGAACAAAAGAGGAGCTGACAGACTCCATCTAACTCACATGTTCTGAAGCATGAAGTTGTTACAGTCAGAGGTAAGGACTGTATCGATGTGTTAGGGGCAGGTTCAATATAAACTTAGTTGTGGATAGGCAAATTAAAAAATTACCAAAAGCATTTTCTATTGGAATAATCTAAATTACCAAATTTATACTGAAAAATATGAGGAAAGGCTCTTAAATTCAGTTAATCTGCTCCACTGTTCTTCTCTGTAATCCTTTCAATTCCTAATCTACCTTGAGGAAGTAACTGAAACCCTTAGCACTGATGTGCAGCTGCTAATGCACTGACCCCTTTAAGAAAGAGGGGCTTTTCCCTTCTGGCTCCAGAAACATATTCTGGTGAAACAAACAAGCAAAAATGTTTATATTCTTATTTTATATTCTTGATTGAATGTTTTTATATGCAGTGGAATTGGGAGGGATGCAAAATCTTATACTTATTAAGGGGCCAGTAGTTCAATAAATCTCCCAAAGAAAAGCAGTAATTTGATTCCCCAGTAGTTATGATATAGTCATATTTGGGGAGCAAATGGAGATCAGAACGTACTGGTACAACATAAAATTTCCAATTAAGGAGCCTTGCTTTATAAACTTTTTCTTTTTTTTTTTTAATAATAAATTTTATTTTTATATTCCCCATACAATTTCAACCCCCCCATTTTGACTCCAATCCCTCCCCTCCCGCCACCCACCCCCCCAAAGTGTCTCTGGTTCATAGATTTTTTTGATTTTGATTTTCACTTTCTTATAGTTATTCATTTTCCTGTTCCCTTATTTAAGTTTTCTAGATTCCTGCTATGAGTGAGACCATCCGGTATTTTTCTTTTTCTTTCTGGCTTATTTCGCTGAGCATGATCCCTTCCAGCGCCATCCACGTTGCTGCAAATTGCATGTGTTTATCTTTTTTGAATGCTGAGTAATATTCCATGGTATATATGTACCACATCTTCTTGATCCATCATCTATTTTTGGGCATTTGGGTTGTTTTCAAAGCTTAGCTATTGTAAACAGTGCTGCTATAAACATAGGGGTGCAGGTGCTCTTTGGAATTGATGTTTCTGCGTCCTTTGGGTAAATACCTAGGAGTGGAATTGCTGGATCATATGGAAGCTCTATGTTTAGTAGGTCCAGAAATCTCCACACAGCTCTCCATAGTGGTTGGACCAGTTTGCACTCCCACCAACAGTGCAGAAGAGTTCCTTTTTTCCCACACCCTTGCCAACATTTGTTGTTGCTAGTTTTTTTAATATGTGCCATTCTCACTGGTGTAAGATGGTATCTCATGGTAGTTTTGATTTGCATTTCCCTGATTACAAGTGATGTTGAACATTTTTTCATATGCCTGTTAGCCATTTGCATTTCCTCTTCTGAGAAGTTTCTTTTTAGCTCTTCTGCCCATTTTTTGACTGGATTATTTTCTTTGTTTTTGTTGAGTCTCATCAGCTCTTTGCAGATTTTTGTGATCAGTCCTTTATCATTAGTGTTGGGTGCAAAAATGTTCTCCCAGTTGGTGGGGTTTCTCTTTGTTTTTGTTATTGTCTCTTTTGCTGTGCAGAAGCTCTTTAATTTGATGTAGTCCCAGCTGTTTATCTTTGCCTTCACTATCACTGCTTTGGGTGATGTGTCTGTAAATATGTCTTTGATGTGCATATCACGCAGTGTTTCGCCTATATTTCCTTCTATGTATTTTATGGTTTTATAAACTTTTTCAGTAACAATAGTTTCCTTAATGATGAAGTCTTCCCTATTTTAATTAATTTTGATTATTTTCTAACTTGTAGAGGTCTGCTTTCTCAATTATAAAATACTAAATAAAAATTTAACTTTTGATATCTTAAGATGAATAATATTAAGCAGCTGTGTAAAGTTTTTGAGGTCAAGTTTTCATTTCTTTTCATTAATATCTGAGTCTGACTCAGTGTCTAACTACTTACACTTGTAGTAGTATTGGGTTGTGAAATTTTTTTTAAAAAGATTTAGTTATTTATGCATACAAGAGCTGGAGTACAGGCCAGAGATGCAGGGGTAGGGGTAGGTCAGAGGATTCACCAGAGACAGAATGGGGAACAGAACAGGCAGATTAACTGAAATACACTGCTGGGGGGAGCAGCGGGAGAGTCAGGAGAGGTCTGCTTCACCATGTGAGTTACTCCCTGGTTGGCTGGGGATCAAACTCCTGCTGCAGAGGCTGCAGATTGCTTCATAGTGCAGTGCTTAACCCTTTGCATCACCAGAGAGGCCTGGGTTGTGAAATTTTTAAAATGTCTTATTAGAATAATATGTAAAGTAAGAGTAGGCAGGCACTGAATAAATAAATGATTTCTAAGATCTGAAGATCTATGTATTCTATAATTTTTTGTCATCTACTTAGTATACAGTGAAAAAGTAATGTGAAATTTTTGTTTTATTATTTTTTAAACTGTTTATTTTTATTTTCTCCCTACAAAAGCATTATCTGTATACATAGATAGGGGAATAATCATTATATAAAGTTTATGTACTAAGTAGAAATATCCTAATAAGGAAAAATATTCATTATGTCTTAAATTAAAATAGAAATTCATGGATGATCCTATTATATTAACAAAGCCTTATATATTTGTGCAAGAGACAAAGAAAATACTTGTAAGCACATAAAAATTGTGCTTACACACCTTGAGAAGAGAGGATTTCAAGAGGTAAGGTATGATGTGGGGTAGCTGGTAATATAGAGAAATATGCTTTTAAAATTATATTTCTATTTTACTTACACATTTTATAAGTAATCGTATATTGCTTTTCTAATATTAATTGTTTAAAAAATAAAAGTATAGACAAGCAAATGGAACTGTATATATCCTACCCACATAGTGACCACCATTATCACTCCATTATCACATGAAAAAAATACGCTTTTCTGTGAATATGCACTACAATTCTGAAAAGATGTAGATATATGCCATTAAGATGCTACCTCCTTTAAAAATATATTAATAGGTAATATGAACATTTTTCCAAATCCATAAAAATATTTTTGCAACCTTATTTTTAGTTTATCAGCTTAGAGATGCAGATTTCCCCTTGGATTATAGTTACAAGTAAATATAATTTATAAGTGAAAAAAACTAATCAATTTAGATCTAGTCAAAAAAACTTAGATTTTGGTCATTAAGGATATTTATATTTTCCCCTCTGTTCTCAAGCCTCTATTTCATGTAAAGGGCTTAGAAATATGGAGTTGATTTATTTTCTCTTACGTATACTAACAGTTTTGTAAAAAGAAGACCTATTTGACAACTATCTGGTTATTTTGACCATTGAAATTTTCCGTGATGTTTACTTTCATAGACATTTCAGAAATATGAGTCTTAACTTATTTTCCAGAGTTTCCAAGAGAATTATAAATATTCTGAGCCACTAAACATATTATCTGCTGTTGGATGTGCGCTGTCCATTACTGGTCTGGCTCTCACAATTATATTTCAAATTGTCACCAGGTAAGAAGGAAAGTAGGCTTTTCTTGTGAGAGAAATTACTATCCTGATGTTATTTCCTCTGGGTGCAGTTTCTCTTAACTAGATCAGAATTCAGATTTGGTTTAACATGTTTGTTTTACAGAAGAGGACACTCAGTCCTGAGCAGGTTAAGAAATACACACAAATAAATCTGTAAAACACAAACTGGTACCATTACGTACCTTTATGTACCATATAATCACAAGTTTGGTGCCATGGTTCATCAATGTCACAGTTCCTTTGTGTTGAATAGAATCATAACTCTCAATTTGCATCTGTAAAAGAAACATTGTTAAACACTTTTTAAAATTATAAGTAATTTTTGAAATGTTTTGTTTTCAAATGATGAGACTTTTTAAAGTTTCTGAATTCCATAGTTTAAAATAATGTAATTAAAGAAAACCAATAGACACATATTTCTCTCCACTTGGGTCCCCTCACTCAGAGTTCAATTTTGTATACCACTTGTTATTTTTTATCACATGCTACATTTTCAATAACTTGCAAATGTAAACTTGTTTGCTTATTAGTTTTCTTGTACACTCTCTGTTTTCCCCATCAGAAGGGAAATTGCTGAGGGCTGTGACCTTCCCTGATTTTGTTGTTGCTGTTGTTTTTTGTTTTGTTTTCACTGCTGTGTCTTCAGGGCTAAGCAGAGTGTCTGACCCATAGGAAAGGGATATCCATAGACTAAGTATGTCTTCATGCATTCTTATGTGATTCTCCTGTCAAACTCAAGATGTCTCAAGATGAACTCATCTATCCTTCAGAATTATTTTGCCCAATGAAATTCCTTCACCACTGTTTACTCAGATGTGTATACTTAAAATTTTTTATTTAAAAAGTATTGCTTAAAAACTTTTTGGGGGGCCTCCCCGGTGGTGCAGCGGTTGAGCGCTGGGTTGTGAAGCTGCCCGCGGTTCGATCCCCGGCTGCTCCCCAGCCACTGGAGGAGGGTCCCACATGGTGCGCAGACCTCTCCTGCAGCCCGCTGCTCCCCTCAGCAGTGTACTTCGGTCCTTCTGCCTGCTTTGCTCCCTGCTCTGGCTCTGTCTTCTGACTATACCCAGTGCATGTATAAACAAAAGAAACAAACAAATAAATAAATAAAACATGCCTCTATAAAAAAAAAAAAAACTTTTTTGGGGGGGTTTCCTTGCCCCTGCCTGGCCTATTTCCATCGGCCTGGGAGTCCCACTTTATTTCGGTTCCTTTTCTCCTCAATAAACTTTTTCTTTCTTTAAACAAAAAAAATAAAATAAAAGGTAAGAAGGGAAGTAGGCTCAATAAACTTTATTGTTGCTCAATAAACTTTTTTTGTTGCTTTTAAAAACTTTTTTGAAGCTTTATTTTACAATTGAAAAACCTATATAAAAGTTGAAAGAACACTGAATACCTACATACCCTTCACCTAAATTCACCAATTATTAGTAATTTATCTCTTTCTATTTTTTCATGAGGTTTTGAAATTTATAGGCATTATGATTGTCACCTCAAAAATCTTCAGGCTTGTATCTCCTAAAAACAAGGGCATTTTCTTTTACAGATTAGTACTCCTTACTCGGGAAATTTAGCCCATGAAAATTTGACATTCATGTGGTGTTTTTGTGTTAATACATAATCCAGACTCAAATTTCTCCACTTATTCCAGTAACTTTTTTTCCCCTTGATTCTTTTTGTTGTCATGTCTCTCCAGTCTCCTTTAGCCTAGAGCAATTCTTCTACTATTTTTGTTTGTTTTAGTCTTTAGTGATATTAAACATTTGAAGTATCCAGGTGAGTTATTTTGTAAAAGGTAGACTGCTTTACAATTAAGGATATGTCAGAATACTAAATCATTCAATCTTTTTAGTATGACCCAGCAAAGAGTGCATGATACCAGCTTGTCCCATTATTGAGTTTGATTTCTTGTGTCTGTGAGGTTTCTGCAATGTGAAGTTTTATTTCTTCCCTTGTAAATAGGTAATCCATGGGGTGATACTTCAAGACTCTGTGACTAGCCTGTTCACCAACTTGTGCTCAATAGTTTTGGGATCTACCAATCATCTTTACTGGAGTATATTACTACATTAGAGACTGAAAATGATGATTTTCTAATCTGTAATTCTTTCTATATTTCGGCATGATTTCCTTAGATGTGTACTCTGCAGTGTAAGCAGAGGGAGTTCATTCATGTCCCTATCAGTCTTTAAGCTCTTCCCTATTTCAGGAGCAGTGAAATGATTCTCACACATCTTTCATGTTTTCTGCCGTAGTCATAGAATCAGCCATTTGCCCAGACCAGATTCTTTTATTTTTTTAAGCATAATTGTTTTTGATTCTTCTTTACCTTTTCACACTTTATGAGTCTCTTCCCATTCATTAAAACTTTTTTACATTGAGTGCTTATGATGGACTAAACACCATGTGAAGACTGAATACAAAACGATGAACAAGATGGTTACATTCCCATCTCTCATGTCTGGGAGGAAAAACAGACATAGTGCAAATATATATATATATATATATATATATATGTACATATGTATGTGTATATATGCATATTACTATACATATATGTAGAAATAAATGTATACTTACAAATTGTGATAAGTGCCTTGAAGGAAAATTACATGCCATGTAATTACATGTCTGTCATGCAAAATGAAATGACTCTTATGTTTGAGTCTTTCTTCCTCTCCACAAAGTCTCAGAACATTTCCATGTGGTTTCTTCAGTGGGGAAGTTGGGCTTTCTACATGGTGACTCAGAATTCCCAGAAGCACATCAGGAAAAGCTTGTCATAATTTTCAAGGGCCCTTCACCTCTTTTGCCCTGTAGAACCTTTCCTCAATTAAAAAAAATCAAATTTATATTTTATGACTGTGTTAATATAAACATGAGTATATTAATGTTAGAAGCTAATTTTTTCCTTGGTTATGGAAGTTTATTTTTTCCTGTTGTTTTTTTAAGGAGTTAAAACATTGTTGTGGGCCATGAAAATATTGTAGATCTAATGTCAAACCTGTTGTGTTCTTAGTTAAATCAAGTCACAAATGAGCCCTGGGTGGGGACTACATAGACCCAGAAGTACAGTTCACTGGAAAATAGTTATTACCTTTGATTATAACACAGTTTCAAGAAAGGATATATCAACCTGTTTTCTCTAATGCACTTTTTTGTGGAAATGAGATAAGAAGAAAGTATGAAATTGGGAAGGTAGATTTGTCAGTTGGTCACCTGAGCTATGAGCTGAATTTATGTTAACATTTCTTTGTTCCCTCACGAGTTTTTTTTTTTTTTTTGCAGTTGTGCTTGTTTTTTAAATGATATTTACTTATTTATTTTCAGGAATGTCAGGAAAACCTCAGTAACATGGGTGTTGGTCAGTCTGTGTACTTCAATGCTGGTTTTCAACCTCCTCTTTGTGTTTGGAATTGAAAACGCCAATAAGACTTCAGAGACAAGTGGCTCCAAGGATATCCATAACCAGGGGCTGAACAAAGTGCCTCAAACAGACAAAGTGGACCCCAAGTCCAACCCCACATGCACTGCAGTTGCGGCTTTGTTGCACTATTTTCTGTTGGTGACATTTGTCTGGACTGGTATCAGTGCCACGCAACTCTATTACCTTCTAATTAGGACCATGAAGCCTCTTCCTCGATATTTCATTCATCTAGCCTCTTTAGTTGCGTGGGGTAAGTGTTTACTTCTCCACTTACTTAGGAATTAAATTTTGTAGCGATCCTTTAAACAAGCACCAATTGAAGGCCTAACAGTGCATGGAAAATCCAATAAAATTTAAGAGTGCCTTCTGATTAGTATCTCAGATTTCTGGGAAGGAGAAAGAAGTAATTAAGGCAGCTGTCCTATACTATAGGATTGCTCATAAGAGAACTTCAGGATGTGAATTTCTTTTAACATCTCCATTTATTTGACTAGAGATTTTATACCACAAATAAGTAACTTCCTAGCTACTTTAAAAGAAATTCTTCAAGAAAGACATTCATTGTGACTCTTTTAGAAAAATATTTTGAAAAACCTGTGGAGTTCCAGCAAAAGAGAATTGTTTCAGTGATACCTAAATCTAAATGTACTCAAGTGAAAGAGAAATTAGACCCTTTATGAATGGAAATTGTGGTAAGAGTCACTAAGAAATCAGAAATAGTATAGTACTGGTATGAGAACCAACACTAAAATGGAAAGGAGGACACTTAACACAGGAAAAATGTCCACTGTTGACCAATATATGTAAGATATTTAACACATTGTCAATAGTGGAAGGAACAATATATCCTGAAAAGGGTCAGATGCATAATTCATTCATGGTCTTTTATAATTAATCCCAGTCTTGGGTAAATTATTTATTCTTTGCCTTTCTTTATCACATAGGAGTCCCAGCTGTAATGGTGGCTGTGACACTGGGAATTATTTATGCTCAGGATCCAGGCAACTCAAATTGGGAGCTAAAGTACCGGCAAGAGTCATTGTGAGTTTATGTTTTTTTTAATGTCCATGTCTTTGACAAAGCAGTGTAACTCTTCAGTGATGTTGTGTCTGAGTATCACTGTATATATCTCATTTTATAAATGCCATATTAGATGAGTATTTCAAATTCTTAGAGAACATGTTATAATTTAAATACATTAAGCTTTTTTATTAATGTGCTTTATATTTTATTACATTTTACAAGCTTTAATTACTTTAAATGTTACCATTAAAATTTTAGCATCTAAATTTTAACAATTTGAGTATAAGAATAGTAATTTCTTTTTTTTCTTTTTCTTTTTTTTTAATAAATTTTATTTTTATATTTCCCCATACAATTGCAACCCCCTTATTTTGACCCCAATCCCTCCCCTCCCCACCCCCCACCCCCCAAAGAGTGTCTCTGGTTCATAGTTTTTTGTTGATTTTGACTTTCACTTTCTTATAGTTATTCATTTTCCTGGTCCCTTATTTAAGTTTTCTAGATTCCTACTATGAGTGAGACCATCCGGTATTTTTCTTTTTCTTTCTGGCTTATTTTGCTGAGCATGATCCCTTCCAACGCCATCCATGTTGCTGCAAATTGCATGTGTTTATCTTTTTTGAATGCTGAGCAATATTCCATGGTGTATATGTACCACATCTTCTTGATCCAGTCATCTATTTTTGGGCATTTGGGTTGTTTCCAAAGCTTAGCTATTGTAAACAGTGCTGCTATAAACATAGGGGTGCAGGTGCTCTTTGGAATTGATGTTTCTGTGTCCTTTGGGTAAATACCTAGGAGTGGAATGGCTGGATCATATGGAAGCTCTATCTTTAGTAGGTCAAGAAATCTCCACACAGCTCTCCATAGTGGTTGGACCAGTTTGCACTCCCACCAACAGTGCAGAAGAGTTCCTTTTTCTCCACAACCTCGCCAACATTTGTTGTTGCTAGTTTTTTTTAATATGTGCCATTCTCACTGGTGTGAGATGGTATCTCATGGTAGTTTTGATTTGCATTTCCCTGATTACAAATGATGTTGAACATTTTTTCATATGCCTGTTGGCCATTTCCATTTCCTCTTCAGAGAAGTTTCTTTTTAGCTCTTCTGCCCATTTTTTGACTGGATTATTTTCTTTGTTTTTGTTGAGTCTCATCAGCTCTTTGCAGATTTTTGTGATCAGTCCTTTATCTTTAGTGTTGTGTGCAAAAATGTTCTCCCAGTCGGTGGGGTTTCTCTTTGTTTTTGTTATTGTCTCTTTTGCTGTGCAGAAGCTCTTTAATTTGATGTAGTCCCAGCTGTTTATCTTTGCCTTCACTATCACTGCTTTGGGTGATGTGTCTGTAAATATGTCTTTGATGTGCATATCACGTACTGTTTCGCCTATATTTCCTTCTATGTATTTTATGGTTTCAGGTCTTATGTCTAGTTCTTTAATCCATTTTGAGTTGATTTTTGTGTATGGTGTGAGGTAGTGGTCAAGCTTCATTCTTTTGCATGTAGTGACCCAGTTTTCCCAGCACCATTCATTGAACAAACTTTTTTTGCTCCAATGCATATTCTTTGCTCTTTTGTCAAAGATTAGTTGACCATGAATCTGTGGGTTTATTTCTTGATTTTATATTCAATTCCATTGGTCTGTGTGTCTGTTCTTGTTCCAATACCATGCAGTTTTGATGATTATGGCTTTGTAGTATAGTTAAGTCTGGGAGTGTGATACCTCCATTCCCTTCTTTTTTTTTTTTTCAGGAGAGCTTTGGCTATTCGGGGGTTTTGGTGATTCCATATGAATTTCATCAATAATTGTTCTATTTCTTTGAAGAATTGCTGGAGACCCGCCCCAGCTAGAAGTCATGTCAGGGATCTCAGAAAGGAGAGTACAGAGTTGGTGAAAGTTCCTTTTTCTCTTTCTCTCGGAGGGCTGAGGGGAAGTGGAGCGAGGTAGAAGTGAGGAAGACACAGACATCTTATTTCGTGCAAGTTTCTCCTGCTGAGGGTCTCAGCGGGTCTTTATTAATACCTTAAGGCGAGTGGTGGGATTACATCCGTGTAAGCATCGAGGCAGAACAGAAACAATCAAACATATTTTCTCATGCAAAGACTCCCTAGGTCTCACACCTAAAGGGCAATTCTCTGGTACCCTTAAGAACAATTAGTTTCCTAGGTACAGCTCATTTACTAACATGATCAATCATATATGACAGCACAACATTTGTCAGCAATTAAACTTTCCCAGTTATAAAGTGGGTGTAAAATTCCTATTCTATATTCAATTAAAAATCAATCTATCTCCTAGCACTCAATTAACTTGGCTAATATATTGATTACTTCAAAGTCGTCTGAAACAACTCATCAAATTTAAGTAAGTTCTACTGAAGTCTAACTCCTAACTAGAAATTCCTAACCTCCACATGGCCTATAAACTATTGACCTCTTGCAAACACCAGAAAATGTACTGCTGGTGCAAACATGCACCCCCCCCGTGTTAGGCTATGGCTTCCAAGCACAGTTGGTTCAGGGCAGCTTGTTCTCCATAGTTCTCAGGGCCGGAACATTTCTTTCCTAACTATACCTTTTGCATTATTTACTTTCTATGATACTAATTCAAGTGCAAGAATAACAAATCAATTAACGTCTAGATCCAAATTGGGTTTTCATATGCCAATTAATGACTAATTTCTGCATTAACCAAGAACAAAGAGGAGAGCTTGAGCAGGTGTTGCCATGGAGACTCCCTAGGTCAGATCTTCTTTGGGAAGCGCAAGAACGCCCCTCTTCTGGGAAGGACAACTTTCCCTCTTTGGGGGAGCACAGGAATTCCCCGCTTCTCGGGAATCTCCCCCAATGCCCGGACCATGTCAAGAGACAGCACGGGAGATGCAGCCTGCTGCAAAGAATGATATTGAAATTTTTATTGGAATAGCATTGAATCTGTATATTGCTTTTGGTAGGATGGCCATTTTAATAATGTTTATTCTTCCAATCCATGAGCAGGGGATGTCTTTCCATTTCTTTGTGTCTTCTTCTATTTCTTTTAACAGTGTTTTTTAGTTTTCTTTGTACAGGTCCTTTTCGTCTTTTGTTAGATTTATTCCCAAGTATTTGATTTTTTTTGTTTCGATAATAAAAGGGATGTTTTTTTTTATTTCTTCTTCTTCAGATTTATTGTTTGTGTATAGGAAGGCTACTGATGTTTACGTGTTGACTTTGTATCCTGCCACTTTACTGCACTGATTGATGAGTTGAATTAGTTTTTCTGTGGAGTTTTTGGGTTCTCTATATATATTATCATATCATCTGCAAATAGTGATAGTTTGACTTCTTCTTTTCCTATTTGGATTCCTTGTATGTCTTTCTCTTGTCTTATTGCTCTGGCTAGGACTTCCAGTATTATATTGAAAAGCAGTGGTGAGAGTGGACATCCTTGTCTTGTTCCAGATCTTAATGGAAATGCTTTCAGCTTTTCACCATAGAGAATGCTACTGGCTGTTGGCTTGTCATAGATGGCCTTTATGATGTTGAGGTATGTTCCTTGTATCCCAAGAATTTCAAGGGCTTTTATCATGAATGGGTGTTGCACTTTGTCAAAAGCTTTCTCAGCATCTATTGATATTATCATATGGTTTTTATATTTCTTTTTGTTGACGTGTTGGATAACGTTGATTGATTTTCGGATGTTGAACCATCCTTGCGTCCGTGGCATGACTCCTACTTGGTCGTGGTGAATTATCTTATGGATACATTGTTGGATTCTGATAGCTAAAATTTTATTGAGGATTTTTGCATCAGTGTTCATTAGGGAGATTGGCCTGTAGTTTTCCTTTTTTGTGTTGTCCTTGTTCGGTTTTGGTATTAGTGTAATGTTGGCTTCATAGAACGTGTTTGGTATTGTCCCTTCCTTCTCAATTTTCTGGAAGAGTTTGTGAAGAATAGGCACTAATTCGTCTCTGAATGTTTGGTAGAATTCGTTTGTAAATCCATCAGGTCCTGGGCTTTTGTTTTTGGGGAGGTTTTTGATTACCATTTCAATTTCGCTGCTTGTAATTGGTCTGTTTAGGTGTTCTATTTCTCTTTATCTAGCTTTGGGTGATTGTACAGTTTGAGGAATTTGTCCATCTCCTCTAGATTGTTGAACTTGTTTCCATATAACTGTTCATAGTAGTTACTGAATATTTTTTTATTTCTGCTGTGTCCATTGTGATTTCTCCTCTTTCATTTATGGTCCTGTTTATTTGTGCTTTCTTCCTTTTTTCCTTTGTGAGCCTGGATAGGCATTTGTCTATTTTATTGATTTTTCCAAAGAACCAGCTCTTGGTTTCATTATCTTTTGAATTTATTTTTAGTTTTGGTTTCACTTATTTCTGCTTTGGTTTTTATTATTTCTTCTACGGGTTTTGGGTTTTTTTGTTGTTCTTTTTCTAGATCTTTGAGCTTCGAGATTAGGTTGTTTATTTGAGTTCTTTCTTGTTTCTTGATGTGAGTCTCTATTGCTATATATTTTCCTCTTCTTACTGCTTTTACTGCATCCCATACATTTAGGAAATTGGTGTCCTCCTTGTTATTCAATTCAAAGAATTTTTTAATTTCTTCTTTATCTCCTTGTTAGTCCAGTGGTCTTCCAGAAGTGTGGTTTTCAATCTCCATGAGGTAGGAGAGTTTCTTGCCTTCTTTTTATGGTTTATTTCTAGTTTGATGCCTTCATGGTCAGAAAAGAGGGTTGGTATGATTTCAATCTTGGTGTATCTGTTGATGTTCGTTTTGTGTCCCAGTATGTGATCGATCCTGGAGAATGATCCATGTGAGCTTGAGAAAAATGTGTACTCAGATTTTTTTGAGTTTAGTGTTCTATAGATGTCTGTTAAGCCCAAGCACTCTAGATCCTTATTTAGAGCTTTAGTGTCTTTACTTATTTTTTGTCTCATTGATCTATCCATTGTTGATAGTAGTGTGTTGAAGTCTCCCACTATGTATGTGTTTTCTCTGATGTCTGTTTTCAGAGATTACAACAGTTGTCTGAT